CCGCGGCGGAAGCCGACGCGCACTGCCGCAGCCTCCACCCGAGAGCCTACTTGGCTACTCTGCGAACGCAGGCCGAAAACACGTATGCTACGAGACTTGTGGCTGAACACTTGCAGCAGGCACAAGAGGTGCAGTTCGCCTCTACGGGGGCCATGCTGGCCGCAGAAGACGAGCCGCATGTGCTGATCGGTGCGCAGTACGACACTACGTCGCTGGCAACGCAGATTCGCTTTCGCGACGGTACAGTCCCTGTGCCTTCCATGTGGAGCCCCAGCCTCAACTCCGACCCCACGTTGAGCGGCTCTCCAGGCTGCTCCAAGCTGACAGCGGCTGGCACGTGGCAAGTGGAGCCATGCGATCGCCAAACCGACGCTTTCTTGTGCACGATCCATAGCAAATGCCGACCCGGCTTCGTTTTCGTAGAGGGTGAGTGTCTCGTAGTGACACAGTTCCCGAGCAGTATTATGACCGACTCCCCGCAAAACTACCAGCAGTATGAAAACACTACCAGCAGTACGAAAACGAATGGAGTTGTGGCGCTGCCTCTCTCGGCTGCAGATCAGTTCTGCCAACTGCTTGCACCATTGGAAAACGCGCATTTGGGACGCCTAAGCACGCCTATGCACGCAGCTGCTGCGCGCGACCTGGCGACTGCTTTGTCGAATGGTGTGACGAAGACGTATTTTGGTCTCAGTTTCAACCAGACTGGGAAATTACCGATGTACGAGTGGAGCGGGGCACGTGATCAGTACTGGACTCCGGAAGTTACGTGGGAGCCTTTTGAGTACATTCCCGCCATCAACGAGAAGGCGAACAGCGTCTGCGATTTGAGCGAGTCGAGAGCTGTTCTGTCTGCCACCGAATGCCAACAAGCCGCTGCGACGATGACTACGCGCGCGCTCGCAGCCTCAAGCAAGGGCACGGCGTACACGTGGAGCGGCACCATCGCGGACGTGAATGAGCCGCTAGGTTGCATTTTCAAGACCACGTCCTCCGAGGTCGTATGGAATCAGGCTCCAACGACCAACTATCCTACTGGAAAGGCTTTCCGAAAATTAAGGCCTCACGACACACTTTCTGGAGCCATGCTGGCCCCTGCGATCGCAAGCCAGAGAACCTCCAACTCCAAGCCATCTCTGAGATTGAGTTGTTCATCTGTAGTCGTAGTAAGCTGCGTTCAAGAAGAAAAACGGGCACTACAGATGAATAAAGGTGGTGGACTATAGTAGCAGTACATAGTGAGTTCTAAGAATAGCCATATGTAACGTCCCTAGCATCACCCTGACCAAGTCGACGGATGCAAATTTGTGCGTGGCTCTCGACAGGGCAACGGGCTTGTGGATGCAGGCATCGTGCGGCAGTGTCGAGCAATTCGTGTGCAGCTACACGCCAGTGTGTCTGCCGGGATCGACGCTCGCCGATGGCGAATGCTTCTTCATGGACCCTGGACAGAGAAAACAGCCGGAACTCGCAGAGGAGATCTGCGGAGAGCATACGCCAACGGCGAAGCTTGCGCGTGTGCGCACGTTCGCCCAGAATAAGGCTGTTGCCAGTCTAGTAGCCAACTCCGGAGAAGATGCGGTCATCGGCTTGAAATACTCGGATCAAGAGGACACACTGGAGTACTTCGATGGGGAGGCAGTCGGGCTCTCGGATTACCGCGGCTTGTGCTGGTACAGCAAGCCAAGCGCATTCGGAATCGACAAGTGCGTGGCGATTTACGGGGATGGGACATCCCGTTTCTCTGCTGCAGCAGTGAGTGCTTTCACTCCCGGTCTCAGCACTGCAATCGCACCTTCTTCAGCAGCATTTTCTTCAACCGCAACTAGTGCTAGTGGCACAACCGGCACAGGTACAACTGGAATTAGTGGAGTTGTAGCAACTAGTTCTAGTGATGGACGCACTTCAACTTCCGTGTTGTATTCGAGCAGTAATCCAGATCCCATTTCTCTGTTGTATCCTTCGTGTTGGAACGACGTGGGATGCGAGTTCGAGAAGCCGTACGTCTGCAGCTACACTCCGGATCCTTACGAACAGAGTGTCATACAGATTTTCGAGAGTTCGGTGACGATAATGGAATTCAAGGAGCAGATCTCTATCGCCTCTACGGAGACGAGGCGCGTGTCAGCGCATTCGGAGATGGAAGTGATTGGTGATTCGTACACCAATGGGCCGCCTCTGACTACGGGTACGGGTAGGAGTACCGTTCTCTTACATACGATGTTCCAAAGAGCAGATTTGCAGACTGCGTGCGCGAAGGGAGAGCTAGACCTGCACGTTTACCGGGACATGTTTGGGGAGGAGTACTCGGATTCTCCGAGTAGTGTCTTCCGCGGCTTCGGATGCGACGACAGCGGCTGTCTGCAAGACGACCAGTTACAGGCTGCGTTCGTGGCGGCACCCCCTGAGGTAGGCCTGGCGGAAACGGCATTAGCCTTCTTCAACCGCACAGCGGATAATGCGGACTCGATGCAAGGAGAGATCGTCACGAGGTGGCTGCCTGGCGAACGCACGAACAGGTCATCGGAGCTTTTGACCGTCGCGATTTCAAAAGGCATGGGTTGGAAAATGATCTCTTTGAAGCCTATCTTCCAGCGTTGGTGCAAGGCGTGGCAAGATAGCGGCTACCCGCTTGGTGTGGACCGCGACAGCAAGGAGGTTGCGCACTTCTTGATCGAACTGACTCCAGCGACGAGCCGCACTGCGATCCGCTTCGCTGGCGTGCACAGCGTCTACCCAGAGTGGCGGCCGAAGTTAGTGACGGCCTGGCTGAACACGGAACAAGACAGCCAGGACTGCGAGAGAGTGCACCAGTCGACCTCCGAATTAGAGACCGAAGTCCGCACTGTGACCCAAGTGCAGCAGGGTGGGGTCACGGACGCGCTTATCGTTTTGGATCGGCCCTTGGAGTACAGCCACGCAATCGGACCGAACAGCGGCGCAAAGGTGGCGCTTTTGAGTCGAAACTTAAAGATCATTGCGGAGGAGCAGTTTGACGCGGACCTGCGCGAAGGCACCGCAACCGGACAAAACTTAAGGCTTACCCTATAATCCATCTTCCGAAGCATCTTTCTTGGAGAGGCTCGCTTCTCAAGGGGAAAAGGGGACCAGGATCGATGCTTCTCGGGATGGATTAGGGTGAGCTCTAAAAAACGCAATCATCATGGCGGAAGTTCTGCGCAAGAATCGCATGCGCATGTCCACCGCCACCACTGGGGCACCGCTAAAGATGTACAAGCGGCAACGCTCAGCCGCAACGCTTGTTCAAGGCGGACTCTACTTAGACATTAGAGGAGATTTCAAGCTGGTGAACACGGAGATCGATTTTGGCGGAAAATTCGGAGGCAGATTGCCGGTGTTAGACCTGAAATCGAACAGCTTGATGCCATCTACGCAAAGCGTTGGAGGGTGGACGCCTTTTACTCCGGAGAACCTGAACCGCTTTGTGGATGCAACCACTGGTGCGGTGAACTATCCGAGCTACGTACGGCTTATCAAGAAGAGCACCTTCCGCGATGCCGCGTTTGACGTGGTCCACATTGACTCCGACACTGCTATTTTAGAGCGAAACACCTTCGTGCGATCGCTAGGACGTGGTGTGGTCGTCGAGAGCGCAGCGCGCAACGTGCAAGTGACGAACAATCTCTTTTTCGGCCACATTTTGCACCCGCGGGTCGCCGAAGCAAGGCAGATGAGCTACTCAGACGCAGCGGCGATCCACATGTCCTCGGACTACGTGCCAGAAGCGGTAATTGAGATCGCAAGTCGTCGTGGACTGGCCACGCGTGAGTTCTACGAGTACGCCACGACTATGCAGCCGGTTGTGGATCCATTCACGGGTGTTACGAGTATCCAAGCTGTCAACACGATGACCGCCTTCCAGTCGCCAGTGACTGCACTGCAGAACAACTACATCGGCGGATGCTACGATATTGGTGTGCAGTACCGCATCGACAAGGACTCTGTCTACAATATGCACCCGTCTCTGGTAAGCGGAAACGAAGTCAGCGGGTGCGTGATTGGGTTCTATCTGCTGCGCCCATGCGACAATGCCGGAGGGGGGCCGCTGTACGGCTGCGCGCCAGTGGGCATTACGACAGCGAAAGCCGGCAACATGAAGGCTTGGCGTAACAGCCACGTCGGAGTGTTCTTCGCGGACATTTATGACTTCGCTAATTCATCTTCAGAAGCGTTTCATTTTGACCCCAGCATTGATTTCCAAGAAGGAAGCAGAGAAACTAGACAGGTCAATGATAACGCTCAAGATGAGCAGCTAAGAAAAGCTAGCTCTAAGCCGTGCCAACGAAGTTACATCTTTCCCAGTTGACGTTGTCCGAGAACCATATTGGCGTCACGGGTTCCTTCCATCGCATGCCAGGAGACAAAGTGGAACACCTATTACATTTGACTCAGAGCTCTCTGCAGGGCACTGATGGTGCACAATACCTGGATAAGTGTCCAGGCTACACCTACTCGGACCCGTTGGACTTCCAGGAAGCCAACTGCAACAACTACCACCAGTTCGACAAGCTAGCGACGCGGTGCACCAGCACAGGAAAGCGCTTCCACCGGGTTGGGGTGCTCTTGCCGTCTGTGTCCAACGTAGGAAAGACGTGCGAGGATGGCATGGACGCCAACGGATTCAACGCCCTCAGATTGGAGGACATTGGAGGCGTTACGACAGCTGCAACCGTCCCGCAGGCTACGTACCTGCCGAGTTGCGCACAGAAGCCAAACCTGCTAGAACGCGCGTGCAATTTGCCGTTTGACGCACGCTTCGGTCTACGCGGAAGCCGCTTCGCGAGCTACAAATTCGATGCTCTGTACCTCGACGGCTGGGGCACGCAGACGCAGTCCGGGTTGCATTACCACTGTCCTTTCAGGGAGAACACCGCTATCACCTACAATCCGACAGGATTAGACTTCACGCCCAGTGCGGAGTTCAGTGGCATCACGCATCAGGTGGGCACGACGTTCCTGCTGAGGCACCAAGTGGATCTCACGCCGGCAAAAGACACGCCGTGTGCGATTACGTCCGTCCGAAAGGGCTGCGACGGTCTCAACTCCCTCTTCCTGAAGGATCTAGATGGCTCTCTGCTCGGTCAAGTGTATTCGAGCATCATCGTGCCGAAGACAAACACCCTCTTTTCTTATGACTGGAGGCGTCGACGTCGACTGGTGTGATTGACTTAAACTTCCCGTATGGTATTTGATGATGTTCATGTTACGCATACTCTGGTGGTGACACCTTCATCTACATCGATCATTAGATATCTTCAGGTTGTCAACAAGCAGTTCGTCACGAAGATAAGTAGTTTGATGTGCTATTATGCTTAATATTATAGATGAGACAGACGAGACCACATCAACTTGAATTCATATTTTTTCTACTCCTTCAACTTGTTCAACAAAGAATTCATTTTCATTTTCGTAGAACAAGTTGACTGTTACCAATGGTACAGTATCAGTAACTACCATGATCTCCTAGCTGTGCAGGAGTAAAGACACTAGAAGTACTTAGCGCGTAGCTAAGGAGAAGCTACCGATGTAACTACGTGCTCAAAAATCAACTTGTCGAGGAACCAGACACCACGCTCATCTCCTAGTCTTTTTCCTAGTCTTTTTCCTTTCATTCTCGCGGTCAGCTGGTGGATTCGGGTTCGACGTACTATCAGGACTGCCAGGAAGCCAGTGGCTTTCGGTATTGCTTCCAAGCGCGACCCCTGCAAGTCAGCTGGGAGAGCTCGGATAGGGACTGCTGTGGCGCGGAGCGCAGGTCTCTGGGCTACTTCTCCATGATGCGGGATTTGTCGCTTCTGCAGAGCCGTGACGACACGCGCGTGAACGCCATGACGTACCCAGCCGATCCAACTGATTTCTTTACGCACGTTTCGGGCAGTGGGCGCGATGACCTGCCGAGCCTGTGCAGTCGAGAGATCCTGTACGGAGATTCGTTCTACCCGTTGCTGCTGCAGGAGAATCAGTTCTACAACGTGACGTTGCAGCGGCGGCCGCCGAAAATGGCAAGGCTCATGTGTGACGGCATGACCAGTGCGGACCAGTACTTCATGTTGAAATTTGTGCTGCCGCAAAAAATGGACTTAAAAGTCTGGATCAACGGCTTCTTAAATAGCGACTTGAAGCTCGCGAATGGTCTAGTTCCGGTCAAAGGTGACGCTCATGGCAGCTTCTCGATCGATCCTGTCTCGATGACACAGACTATCCTATTCCGTGCGGGTGCCGGTGGGACTTGCCCAACTTAAGGGTTGGAAGTTGACCTCTTTGTGAGCATTTCCATGGATTCTATAGGAGTAAGTAGGAAGTCTCCATAGATCATTCTATGCGAGCTAAAGAGGTCAACTCTCAGCCCCTAAGCAACGCTGTTCTTACAACAGGTGGACGTAGTGGAGGTGCAGATCACCATAGACATTCCGCTAGAGCAGTTTGACACTGCAGCGCAGTATTCGGTTCGGATTTCGCTGGCAAGCCTGCTAGGAATCACTGACCTAACGCGCATAGAGTTCGTTGCTTCAGCAATCAGGCGCGTACTAGTGGAGGAACTAGATGAGGAAGAGGAGACCACACCAACATCAAGTGGAACAATAGATAAGAAAAGAAGAAAGCTTCGTGTTCTAGACAAGGAACCTCTCCTGGGTGCCTTTGGAGGCATGTGGGAAGACAAGGACATCAACAATTTTGATGAAAATGGTGCTGCGGTTCTTCCTTCTAGGGGATCCTCTAGTTCTAGTAGAGGAGCCCGTCGAAGAAGATTGGCCACTAGTTTGCAGGTTTTGATTAAGGAAGACGCCCCAACGCCGACCAGCGACGAATTAAGTGACACTCCCGCTTCCGCTACGACGTCCTCCACGTCGACCACGACGACATCAACAACGACAACACTTGACGTGAATGCAACGAATGACAGCAACGTCACAGCAGCACAGGCAAGCGCTGGAGGGACAACAGTGGTGGTGGTGAACGGAACTACGTCTTCAACCACGACACAAGCTCCGTCTATTGCAGCACTGATGTCGCTGAGTACTGTGATTAACGATCCAGTCTTCTCTGCGAACTTGAGTCAAGCCGCAGGCTTGCCCGTTGCCCAGATCCAAGCGACGCCGCCAGAAGTGCAGAGTCAGACCGGCGCCACCTACGTTTGCGACGAGAACGGCGTCTGCAGCTGCATAGCCAACTACTATGGTCCCAGCTGCGATCTGCAGTGCCAATGCGTATCGAAGGGCACGGCCAAGTGCAACGACGGGGTGGACGGGGACGGATCCTGTCTCTGCAAGCCCCACTTCGCTGGCGCGACGTGCAACATGTGCGATACATTCTACTACGGAGATACTTGCGAACACATGGGCCATCCAAAGCTCACAGAACTAGAAACCAAAGCATTGTCAATTTCGAACTTGGTGAAGGGCGTCGTGTGCGGCGGACATGGTATTAACTTTTATTTTGTATCTGTCTCTTTTTAGTATTAACTTCTCTAAAAACTGCAACATTGACCTTCATGTTGTTCTTCTTGTTCTTGTTCTCGTATACGTATGTAAATGTATGATTTATTACTTGTAGTGTGACTTTATTCTTTATTTTCAACATGCCGATGAGATTTTCTTAGCAGTTATCTCATGTAGTACCCATCTGCGACTGCGATCGCTTTTCAGGTTCGATCCTCTTCGATGTGAATTCGCAGAGCGGACTTGTGACGCCGACAGGATGCGCGTGCGACAAAAACTACTTCGGAATGAAGGATTTCACGTGGCCTTATTCCACAGATTGCACTATGTTAGACGCCATATCGTTGTCAAGCGCTGCTGCGGCCATGAGGGGCCATTCCGGTTGCGTGCAGAAGGGCGCGTCGTCGTATGCCACCACCGCTTATCAAGTACGGTGCGAGAGCCCATGCCTGTGCAATCCAGTAGGCACGGAGCACTGCATCAATGAGCAGTTCCAGACCACACGTCAGGGAGAATGCACTTGTAAGCCGACGTTTACGGGGACGACGTGTCATCAGTGCGTGCCCAACTACTACGGCGACAACTGCGACATCTTCTGTTCGCCTGAAGTGACCTGTCAAGGACGCGGACAGTGTAGCGAAACCGGTCTTTGCGTGTGCGAGAACGGCTGGTTCGGCACCAACTGTGAGCGTCTCACGTGTATGAGCTGCAACGGCTTCGGTAGCAACGGGCTATTGGGATGCGAGTCCGTAGAAGGGCCAGCTTGCCAATGCGCGACAGACTACGCAGGAGCGACCTGTGAATTGTACCTTGTGACTTACTGATTTTTAGACCACCTTAAATGTTCGTCTTCGTGATCTGTCGGAAACGAAATGAATGTACACAGCGGTTGTTGAACAATGAAAGGTCGGGTGATGAATTATTTAGCAGCATACTTATATATAACCTAAACTTGTTTTAACACCATCACTACAACAAATCCTACAGCAAAATTTCGTGGGCAATCGGTGCCTGGGGGCTCTGCACGTACAACGAGGTCACGCAGTCATGTGGAAGCGGCATACAATATCGAACGATTGGCGGACAAATGTCGAACCATGTGGATTCATCCTTGTCAAACATCTTCATTCCAACTACGCAACTTCCACTACTCGTCAAAAAACCGCTCACCTCACAAGAATGCATGCACCCAAGCAGACCAACATGCGACTGTCCATGTATTTAGGCTTATTGTTAGGCTTTCATACAAAACTTTACTTTTTGCTTAAACTTACGCTTAGATTTAGAATAGTTCAAGTAGAACTCCATGCTCATCTACATCTTGCTGAGAAGAATCATGATTTTGAAGTAAGCCTAAGCTTCCTTACACATACACGTGGTTCAAGGAGACATCTTCCTCTACGCATTCCCGCTCATTGTTTCTTCTATTTTCTAAGGATGTACTAATTCTTGACCAAAATTTAATATACTCCACAGTTACCCTCCCCATCGTTCCAAACGGCAAGACGCCGGTTTGTGAGATATTGCAGGATGGCGGAAAATGCCCACTCGTTTGTGAAGATGGGTACCAGGCGCTTGGCCACTACATCTGCTCGAAGGGAGCCATTCATTATGGTCAACATCTACAACTATAACTTTTACAGTTACTCCTTGTTCTCATCTGGTGTGTTTTTAGCATCTCTAAGCTTAAGGTACTATCCGTTTCACCCCAGGCTCAGGATCAGGTCAGTCATAGAAATAGAAGAATCCGATGGAATAAAAGGAGCTACGACCACCGTACAGTGAACAGGGTGCATGGAATCCTGACCAAGCGTCCCTTTCTGAGTAGACAGAGAGAATGGACTGCTGCTCAAGATGAAAGTCCGGTTAGAGGTAACCCACCTAACCTCTTCCTCTTGTCCTTTTTCTAAATCCGAAAGCCCTTGCCGGAGTGCATCGAGTCCGCATCGCTGGTGGACTATGCTGGTATTCCCGCGTTCAGGCAGACACTGACCTTCCAGCTTGCCGAAACAGCGGACCCGGTGAAGTGGCGGACGGGTCTACAAGGCAGTTTGCCAAGCGTCATCGCGGATATGGTGGGAGTACCGCTTGCGGACGTCACGTCGGACAGTATCGATGTAGGAGACAAAAGCTACAGACTGCGCACAAGGAGAGAATTGCGGAATGAGGATGGAACAAGAAGTCTCGGCACTTCATCTGAAGAATTGGAATTGGAAGTCTTGGTGGAGGTGAAAACAGGTCGAGAAGCGGAGAGGATATTGACGGAACAGCAACGAGGAGGAGGTGAACGTACGAGAGCAAGAAGTGCATCGCCTTCTAATACTATGACTAGAAGTGCTACTTCACCGTTTGACGTTCAGGATCACGATTTAGAGCACGAGAACGAGGACCCATCTAGGAGAATAGAAGAAGCAACAGAAAGCAGGAGCAGCAGTAGCAAAGCTCCGGTCCTCGAGCAACGACATCTGCTCAGGCAGAGAGCAACTGCAGTTTCGAATACAGGCGAAGAAGCAGAAGGAAAGCAGTCCTCTGCATCTCGTCGGCGGTTAGCGAACGCAACGCCATTTGTCGTAGTGTATTCCGTGCGAGTGCGAGATAGCGGACGATCCGTGGCGATAGAGTTTCACCTATCGTCTATAGCGTCCAATCCAAATAGAGCGTTTACGACTAACCTCGCGACAGCGCTGCAAAGCTACGGCATTCCTTCAGCTGTGGCGGACCTGGCAGTAGGATTCTACGTGACGAACCCGACTAGCGTCTTCGTCTACGAGATCGGAACTACAACGACGACAACAACTTTATGAATCGATGGAAGGCTGTAGTTCTTGTAGATGTAGTTTCTACAATGGTACTGTTCTAGTAGTCTAGTTTCTAGATCAGTTAGTTTATCAGTCGTAGTTCCTCTCTCTACTACAGTGATCATTTTCACCTCTTAATAATTCTCCATCATTTTATTTTTTTGAGCAATACTTAATTATTTTTGGTTCCAGCCAGGTTCCTCATGATTCGATTTCTATTTTTTCCATGTATGTGCAATTATAACAAACACAATACATCATAAACTAGCGAATAATCATCCTAACTCTCCTTCATATCCCACCACGTCCACTACCACCACGACCACGACTCCGTTGCCGACCACTGCGGCACCCCCAGAGGATACTTCCTTGATCACCGGCTTGATTGGCGCTGGCTTTAAGGCTTCCCCTAAAAATCCATCTTCGAAAGCATCGTAGAGGTGTTTTCCCCGCGAAAACAGAAACAGTCCCAGGATGGCAGTCTGCACTGAACTACTCTGTGCGAGATTTATTGTATTGCATTGCATGGACGTGAAACCTAAACCTTTATTTTGGGTGAGCTCTAATGTCTCTGCCCTCGGCGTGATCCTTCTGATCGCGCTCATCTACTATGGCTACATGCGAAGGCAGGTCTACCACGCGAAGATCGCGTCGGAAGAGGCCGAGCGACAGCGCATTGCGGATATGGAGACGGTGCACAGGAAAGAAGGTCGCGTGGTCACGAAGCGCTTTGGCGAAGTTCCGGGTATGGACCTTCCGAACCTGCCGGACCGAGAGTACGAGGACGGTTCGGCATATTTTGGCCAGCTCAACCCGAAAGAACTGAAACACGGTTAAGGCTCAACATCATACATAGATACTGTTAAAAATTGATCTCCACAGTTCATCAAACAATGATTACTTTCATCAATCAGTCAATCAGTGACTCATCTCCACAGGACTACCTCATCTCTCGTCCCCTTTTCCCCTCAGAAGAAATAGCGAAAATGAACTTGAAAGATGAAAAATTGCTGTGAGCTCTAATACGGAGTGGGTGTGCTCAAGTTAAAGGCGTCTACATACAGAGGTCAGTTCATCCTCGACGAGTTCAGCGGACTTGGTACGTCAACGTCAATACAGCTTTTTATATATACTCTATCCTAGAAAAAGGAAAAGCTACTCCATCTCTAACACGACATACACCTACAATGAATATGAATTTTATGTAAGTCTTAATCTTGACGATTTTAGTATTGGACACTAATCCTAAAACTAAATGTACTACATGTACTCACTTGCACATCATAGATTCCTGATTCCTGTTCAGGTCGTAAAGTCTTAAATGTACTACTTGTACTTGTGTTGCTTCATCTCGTTGATAGTCGAGAAGGACTATCTGAGATGCATACATGACATGTGCATCTTCCATTCCTCCGTACAACAGGTATTATGGCATGGCAAGCTGGCGTTGTATATGCGGGAGAGTGGAAAAAGAATCAAATGAGTGGTTGGGGCACACTTCGGGTCCCACGAAAGTACATTTACAAAGGCCAGATGAAGAAGAACGAAAGACATGGCTATGGCCGCTGTGAATGGTATTATTTACGCTACAGGCTTAGTCGTGATTTGTGAAAAAATTTCTTTGGAAGTGATTCCGTAGCCATTAAGTTGGAATTGTTGGGCGCTTACTTTGGTGAAAACGATCAAGCTATCCATTATTTATGTTTAGTTTTTGTTACAACTACTGCAATGAATATGATTTTTATGGCTCAGCATTGCATATTGACTTTTCTTTCCTCCTCATTCAAATTCATCCACTTCCACGTGCCCCTCCACAGTTGACGCACTAGCTTGATCAAGATTACAGATTTTTTATTGGCGAATATTATGAGCACCCAGACCCACTAACTCCACATCCACTGTAAATGATCTAAATTGTGAAAATTTTATCTACAGGTTTAATGGCGAATACTATGAGGGAATGTGGCAAGACGGGAAGATGCACGGACCGGGAAAGTATGGTACGCTAAGGGTTGCGGCTATCTGGAACTGGAACGAAGGCAGGATGGGAACGCTTTTGCACAAGCTTCCGTTATGATCATGTTGGTCAGCTTTTATTATTCATCTCTTGCAGCATGATTTTTATTTTTGCTGTTCCTTCCTTCTATTTTTGCCGCAAAGTACATCACGGGTAGAAGAAGAGATACCAAGGCCGTAGAAGAAGAGATGCCAAGGTCGTAGAAGAAGAGATGCCAAGGTCGTAGAAGAAGAGATACCAAGGTAGAAGAGGAGATACCAAGGTAGAAGAAGAGATAGAGATACCAAGGTTATGAAAAAGAATAGAAATACTAGTCGACTTATGAAAAAGAATAGAAGTACTTCTAAGTCCTAGTGGGATCGGTGGTCCAATTCAGCTAGTTCTACTGGAACGACCAAAACGAGTGCACGAGCTGCAGGCATCCTACAAGGCTGTGTCTATGCTGTTGCAGCGCTACCACGTCTCCAGTGAGGTTGCTTTGACCGCGCGGGACTCGACGGGCGACAGCACAGCACGGACAGGCGGCTACGTATCTGCGAGAAAACCACTAGCTTTGGAGAATGTCGGCAATTTAAGGCTTCGCCTATTGTTCCATCACTTCGGAAGCATCTTACAGCTGTTCCATGATAAGGCGAAAAGAGCCGCAAGATGCTCCCCAAGATGGATGAGGGTGAGCTCTAAGCAATGCCTCGAGCAGACATCGAAGTATGACCCCACGTAGTCGAGGGGGTAGGAAGGTGCTAAACAAGGCAGCACTAGGTGGCGTGAGGCAAGCGCATAGTGTCAGCCCGTCGACGCGAGAAATGGTCAGAAGTGCGACAGGGAGTACTACATCTTTATTGCCACCTGCTTCAGATCTTGGCGGTGCCAGTGCCAACTACACAAGAATGATAATGTTCTTCTGTTGTGATTCTTTTTTCGTAGTACTGAAACTGATTCATGTATACCACGACACACCCACTTCACACTTACAACAACATGTTTTTAATTATAATCCTCTCGAGTTCAACGTCCTCCTCTTGCTCAATATGATCCAGCTTGGCTAACAACGTCCATGACATACATTGTAATTGTATCACTAACTCAATCTCAAATCCACTAAAAATTTCATCTTCTCCACGTCCAACTCGACTCAGAAAATGACGTTTTGGCGCAGTACTCGTTTCGAACCGACAGTGGGCAACCGTCGGCAAGACCCTTGTTGGCTGAACATTATAGCAGGCAAGTCGACACGGCGCGGTCATCCCCAAGGATGGTAGCTGCGCAGAGTCCTCATCTTGACGAGAGTGCACGAAAGACTCCAAAAAGGAAGGAATTAGTCGAGCCGCCAAAGTATTGCTTTCTTCAATTGATGACGCAGATCATGTTTTTCTGATGAACTTAATTATTTTCTGATGAACATGGCTAGAACAGTCTGCATTTTATTGAGGAATCAAGAATACAAGCTTCTTGTAGTGAGGTCTCCTCTTCACTCTACATCAGGGTGAACGTCAAAAAAGCGCGAAAGGGCGCGGCAAAGTACGCCAGTGACGACGAGCAACAGGGCGCCGATGTGCCTCCAGAGATGTCCAGTCCTAATTACGGTTTCCTCTCTACTAATCCATCTTCAGAACAAACAACCATACTGGACCGCCTTTTCAAGGGAAAAAGGGCTCCAGGATGGATCTTGAGATCAGTAACAAGCATACTTACTCACTGGAACGCCTTTTCGAGCAGGGAAAATTCAAAGCTCCACCAGGATCAAGGGCGATCTTGAGATGAGTCATCCCCACGAGCTCCTCTAACTCAAGGGTGGCAGAGCAGGAGCTGGCCAGTCCGTGGCAGATGGGCACCCTGACCCTCCTCCGTTGCTTCAATATCTCCCGATGGAGCGGTATGAGCAGACTCATCCGCTAAACTGCATCCATAACGTGGGACAACAAGCAGTAAAGTTCGACCTGGACCTAGAGTTAAGACTTCTTGAGGAAATCCATCTTTCCTACTAGCGTTGTTCTTAGCATCTGGCATGGCTCCCGTTTTGATAGGAAAATTCATCTTTTCCAGCATCTTGGCCTTCCTGTTTGTTCAAGGAACCAAACGGTCACCAAGATGCTCACCATGATGGATTTTTGCGACTGCGAGTTCTAATAGAGGCCGAGATCGACTTCCCACAGTGGGGCTTTAGGGTAGGCAACCCCTTCGTCTGGAGAGGAGCAGCGTTGAAGGACTGCTTACTCATTTTAAGGCTCCTCTCGATGATGTAAATCTATCTTAAGATCTTGAAGCTATCCCATCAATTGACCCCAAACGGTCGGAGGAAGTAGAAGTAAGTAGGAGTAACAAGAACAAGATCATGATCATCATCATGCGTCTCAGGATATTAGAATTATCCCACACGGAAAAAATATGCATAGTTAGCGAGCGCCAAACTCACGATAGATTACTTAGTCTTAGCTCTAATCATGACCGAAATCTATGGGGGACGAGAGGGCGATGCGGGACCATTGAAAGACTGGAACCGGCTTGAGGCGGGAGAAGATCTAGCATTTCAAGGTGGACGGTCCCCAAGAGCGACGAGAGTAATCATGTTATGCAACACAGCGCAACGTGAATAAGAGGGTGTCAGAACAGACATAGAGGACCAGCACATAGACATACATACTTTTTTTCCTGGCTAGTACTTGGCTCAAGGAGTGGTGTCAAATTAATTGTTGACCTTGGCGTCGTCCTCTTCTTGTTGAACATCTTTATCTCTCAATCACGATAATGTTTGTAAGCATTATCCTGGAATCGAGGTAGTCATATTAAAGTCCACTACTTGTTTCTCTAACAACAGATTCGCCTGGTCGCGGGGGTCCTATGGGTGCATCTAGCAGAGGACACCATCTTCCGAGGCAGCAGCCAGACAGTAGCAGTAAGGTTCGGCCTATAAAGAAATTCGCAAGGATTGTTTCGGTGAACGGCGTCACGAAGGACCTAGTGCGCATGCTCAAAGTCATGTCCATGGCAACTAGGGACCTCAAGCTGGGGATAGTATAATTTTTTTCTTTCACAGACTACGCTCACTGCGAGTACAGAAGTTGTACACCAATGCTAATTCATCTTTCACTACGTGCATTCGTCTGAGTTGGATGTTCTTGATGTTAAACAAGTTGAACAACTTAGAATTAAAAAGTCTCTTAGCTTTAAAAACCTGATCTCTGGTTGGGATTACTTACCATTATCATGTTGAACATCTTGATCTTCCTCTATCTACATACGCCTACGTGAAAGTCTCCTCTTTGATGTATGAACAAGAGTAGAGTAAGAGAAGATACTTCTTCTCTCGCTCTACTCATACTCCTTTGTGGTTGTGGTTACTTCTCATTATCATCAACATTTTCTATTCGAGGTAAATTCCGCATTCGTGAAAGTTTACGAACAAGGGGAGCAACTTGAGGATGGCACCGACGCTGTGCTGCCTTACGCGCCGCATGAGGGTCCGCTGAATAAGGCCACTGAGAGCGCCAAGCGAGCCAAAAAAAATCAAAAAACACTGGAAGCCTACATTATGGATACAACCGTGTGTGAAGTAGAACCCATCTGATCATCTTATAGAATCTTTCGTATTCGTTATCACTCTTGACATAACCATGAGCGAGTACTATTAGCTATAACAAAAACAAACAGTTTAACTGAAAGTGAAATTATAGCCGTAACCGAGTACTATCGTTATCTTAAAAGATTATTCTCTGAGAGGGTTTAGATTGTTAGGGTTTAGACGATCCCGTTCTAACTTCCGTCAACCAACAGCGCGCGACCTAGAGGCTGCAGCACGAAGGGGTAGGCCGATTCCTGGCGAGACTGGTGGCGCTGGAGACCCTGACACCGCACAAATCGAAGATCTGGAGGCCATGAATGTTCGCGGTGTTCGAGGTGAAGAGGTCTGAAAATGATCGATTCGTAGTTGTTGGAGAAAAATGATGTTAGTTAGTGTCACACTCACAAAGAATAAGAATCGAGAATAGTACAATAAAGGATTAGGATTAGGATTGTGGGTAACTCAGTTCAACAAACCATTTGCATATGCATTTCTCTAGTCCTGTTTCCTAAATTTGAATCTTCGTTTTTAAAAAATCTTTCGAATTCAATATCTCAACCAAGCAAGAATGGGGAATAGCTTGATTTTTAGTGATTATGATTACCAGTAGATAAAGTTATGTCTACCTCTAGATATGTATTCTTCCTACTTATTTCACCGAAGAACAAGTACTAGTAGCTAAGGCACTAGTTAGTAGCCAAAGCACTAGGTACTGGCTGAGACTATGTATTGCTGTGATTCACTTTCACTTTCACCGGAAAAAAGAGTGTCATCAATCTGTTACTTTCCTCCTGTGCAACTACGACAGCAATGATCCTCTGCGTCGTAGAACACCTTCCGCTTCTTTAAATGTTGAGTAACAAGCTTTGATGCGGTAAGATACATGGAACTGAGAAAACAGGGAGGTAGCGTGACCGAGTGAATTACAAAAGAATGGAACTCCAACAGTGTCACCAGGCGTGTCACCTTCATCCGAGGACTTTTGTTTTCGGACGGACTTCGCTCGGAGGACCAGGCTCTCTCTGACGAAGGCGTACCGAGGACAAGTCCAACTACAAAGCCTTAAGCTTATAAAGTCATCTTTCTTCGCGGTAAAACACCATCATGAGGAGCATCAATCACATCAATCAGAAAAGTTTTAGATGAATTAACAGAAGCCATCATGAAAGTAACAAAACAAGTACTTAACAACAAAGCCTGTACTCAATATACTATTTTCTGATTCCCAGTACTGCTACTATCCACTGGATCGATCATGTGGATACAACTGGAAACACGAGAAAGACTCCCTCGTCGTCCAGTATAGGGATGATATTTGATGTAAACAGGAGTTCTTTAAATTGTTCGTATTTTATCACGTTCACGGTGGGTGGATTTATCCTGTATACTATCCTTGGCTTGTAGTTGGAGAAGAATGTTGACGCGAAGATTGACTCTTGAGCTCTTGACAGAAATTTTTATCCAAATTCCGATTATTTACACCTCTTGCGTTGTGTGAGAAGGTTCAAGTAATTATACAGTAATGAAAGTTTACGTGAGAGAGGGTGAAGGGGAGCAGAAATTAAAAGCGGCTCTGCGGTAGGGGCTGCTCGACCATTGCAACCACGCGGCCGTGGATGAATTAAATGAATACTTTTCTCCCACTTACCACCTCTCAACGAAAAAATGCCTGTAATCATTAGTATTTTTCAGTTCAGCTGCATCAGATGTAAAGTTAAAACTGAAAAGCCAATTCTAGGGAAAGTCATCGAAAGGTCTATTCTCGTTCTTATCAATCACAATCTCGTACTTAATATATCCATGAGTTGTACAACGTAGTGGTAGTTTAGTTGTTAATAGAGTCTTGTCGCTGAGAAATCTTCATCAATTCGAGACCGTTCTGGTCGTCGTCGTCCGATGTTGTAAATAGTATAAGAACTAATAAATATTAATGTCCTCCGTCGCATGCAGAAATCAATCCATCGCCCCCTGATTGATTGATGCAGATACTCTTTCTTAGTCTTTCGGTGGGAGTTATTTCGTTAAACAGAATCCTTATCTTAATTATTATTTTCATGTAAGCATCTAGTTGTAACTTCTTCTTCTCCGTAAGAATAGTCTTTGGAAAAATCAGTCTTGTATTTCGTTATTGCCTTCCATCGGCCGCGTTGGCTATGTTGATGAATGGATGAATTTTAACATTTACTGCCCTTCGGCTTCGCTCTCAGTCTCAGACATTGACTATCGGCTGTCTGTTGTCCACGATGAAAGAATGCGATTTGGGAAGAAAATTAAGCTCAGGGGAGAAGCTTCTAACATCAAGAACGAATTCAGATTAACGTCGAGCGAGTCTTTTCTTGAGTAGTTTCCGGTGTCAAATGTAAGCTACGATGAGCGTGAAGGTGGGCACTTTAATGGCTGAGTGCACGAACAAGTGAGGGCCGATACCGGAGATACTTTCCGTAGCGAGACGACACCATCAGAGACAGTTGCGCTTTGCCTGTTGACGTTGTGAGAGACAAAACAAAGCAGGAGTTGCTATCTTCCTCCAAGATACTTGTAAATATTTATTTTGCGCATGAAGTTGAAGATGAAAGAGAATTTGAATTTCCTGAATGCGAACAATCCACCGAATTCATCTATTTATCAAACCTGCATCTTCATATGAATGATCTTTTATGGACGACATGAAATAAAAGATGAACGTTAATAAAGGTAAAGCGTGAAAGATAGAGGGTGAGAAAAGCACGCGCCGTTGAAGTTGAACTGATGCGAATACTTGATCTTAATTACTGGAGCAGTACGAAATCTTCTAGATGAGAAGTAGAAGGCGTGCGCGTCTTTGAGTTAGACCACTCAGAAAACAAGATGTGACATCTTAGATGTCGTGCAGCACGCAGGCAAACTCAAACATATCGGATCCAGACAATGGAGGTGGTCGGGATCCTTCACCCGGTACCGCTGCTTCCTCGCCAAAATTCTGGTCGTGTTGCTGCTGAGTCGTTTTGGAAGACCCCCTTATTTGCAGTCGTGAACATCCGCAAGAAGCTGCTCGACATCCGCAAGAAGCGGCTCGACAAGAAGCTGGTCGACAAAAAGCTGTCCGCAAGACTGCCTTCGAGAAACTTCTTGTCGACGAATAGACCGGTGTGGGATTTGCGCTCTTCATCGTTACAACCGGAACCGAGAACAGCCTGCGTGCCATGATGTCGCAGTGCACGCGCGTTGACTAGCTGATCACAAATGACCAGCACAGACTGACACTCCTTGTACTGCGAGGACGGCGCTTCGACCGTGTGCGCGAGCATCCGTGTGCCCCGCCTCTGTCTGCCTGCCAAGCAGAATCTACAAGTACGAAATAGAGTGCGCTACGACTCGACTCGAGATCCCCTGTGTTCTTCCATCCACGAGGCTCTGAAGATCCTTCCACACGAGGAGGCTCTGACCGAGCACGATCTACGAGTGCGTAGATCCGCGAGAACGACGTAGATGTCTTCGAGGCATACTGTACCGCACTCGAGGCATATTGTACCTCATAGATTTCTTCGAGGTGGACTAGTAGAGATGACATCCTGTGCTGTTCCCTTGGACAACCACAAAAGACGGCACGAATTCGCGGTCTAGTTGAAGAAATCGCGTGCTTAGGGCAATAGCGTCCCGTTCCTCTGCGGTGACGAGAGAACGTGTGCGCAAGTGGCGGAAAGAAGTGATCTTCTTCAGCGCAGCCGCAGTTCCTCGGCATCGTCAGTGTTATTTTGATTTGCTTCATCTTGAAAGGATTAGGTGCTGCGATGACGCGGATGCTGTGCCTTGACGTTTCGAGCACACGAGATTCTCCGAGGGTCACTTGATGGAGTAGGCAAGAATGTTCGCAGAGTATAATGCTGTCAGAAAAAACGTTAAATCGTGACTACAGGCATGGCGATGGTCCACTTGGTAGGGGACTTAACCGACTCCTGGGCCCTTGAAAGCGGGGGGATCACGGCTTCCTTTGATTCGACGACCTCGACGAAAAGGGGCTTCATCTTCAATTTCTTTTGGGAGGACTTTCTGTTCATCACATGATCTCAGGACTCGCTACTATTTGAAGAGTCCTCCTAGTTCTTGTCGTCATCGTCTATGACGCAACTGGGCGTCTTCGGGGAAGAAGTGTGGGAGGTGAGCGCGGGGAAAGTAAACTACGACTAGTTTGTGCTAAACGTACAGGAGATGACTGAAACTGAATGAAGGTTGAACGTGAGGATCGATGTGTGAAGGACAACGAAAGCGCTATAATCAAATGAGTGAGAAGAAGCCCGTCGTAGATAAATAAATTTGCGCAAGACAAGCAGTAGGTCGGATTTTACGGCATTGTTCTTCCTTCACGTGTGTGTGCGCATGAAAAATTTGAGGCTCTTTCCCTTTGAGATGACGAGTTGCGGATAGGCAAACGGCAACCGTGGAAGGCCATTGCATGTGAGTGAAATAGGGATGTCATACTTTGTTGGATTACTCACGCAAAATTGAGATTGATGATAAACCGAGTCATGATTTTGATTGACTCAAATTTAGAGTTTCATCTTTTGTTCAATTTTTTGCGGCCCCTGCGAGTAGTGCTAGGAATCAGTCGTAGTGTTGCACTATAAATACGATACCAGTACGCGGGTCCAGGAGGGCCCCCCTTTTCTTGAATAAGTACTCAGAAGAATAGGGCCCCGCATTTCGTGACAAAGAAAATGTGGGTCCGGAGCGATGATGACCTTTTTTTTCGACGGGGGGCAAAGATGCTGCTCCTCTTGCTTCTCCATGGAGAGATCGTTCGCTCGATTCAGCCGAAGGAAGCAAGTATCACGATTACGGCGGACGAAGCCTTTACTTTCGATTCATCAGAGTTGGACGATATTTTTCTTGAGGAGAGTCTGCTGGAAACTCCTTCAAAATTCAAACTTACAAGGAAGCAAGGAGCCACGAGCATGACATCGCAGGCGGGCGATTCGCATTCGTCTGAAATTCTGGTGGCTCTGCCTCTAGCAAGCAATACCCTACCTGCGGAAGATTCGGCAGCGCAGCCTGTAGTAAGCGCAGACTCACCGTCACCTACGGAATTTTCGGCGGCGCAGCCTGTAGTGAACGTAATATCATCTACCTCTACGGAAATTTCGGCGACGCAGCTCCGAGCAAGCGAAACTCCATCTGCGGAAAGATCGGCGGCGCAGCCTGTAGTAAGCGCAGACTCATCGTCACCTACGGAATTTTCGGCGGCACAGCTTCAACTAGTCTTCGAGACTCCATCTGCGGAATTTTCGGCGGCGCAGCTCGGAGCAAGCGAAACTCCATCTGCGGAAAGATCGGCGGCGCAGCCTGTAGTAAGCGCAGACTCATCTACCTCAGCGGAATTTTCTGCGACGCAGCTCCGAGCAAGCGAAACTCCATCTTCAGCGGCGCAGCCTATAGCAAGCGCAAAGCCACACTCACCTTCGGAATCTTCGGCAGCGCAGAAGAATAGGCTTTCTTGCGCAGCCATGTTCGACGACCAGCAGCAGAACCAAGTGAGAGAGGAGGTTGCCAAGGACATCGACAAAAAGATCTTTGAGGATCACCTGTTCCCATCTGAAGATGAAGACGCCGTAAATGCGTCTCCGTTCTGGCACGTACTCACGCCTGCGCGCGTTGCCGCAGCGCGATTGCTCGTGACGACCGGAGAAGAAAGCACCAACGATGGTCGCGAATGGACAGACCGATGCGAAAAGGCTTTAGGGGGCGTGACGGCGGCGAAAATGGACACGCCTGACAACTGGGCACGAACTGTTGCTCATATCCTAGGAACCTCTTTCGTCACGGGATCTTTGGAGAGACTAGTAGACCATAGTCTCGTTGCGAGTCTACTTGGGGCGAGTCTTAACGCAGAAAAGGAGCTGACGCCGCCCGAGCAAAGCGAAGTGCTGTCGAAGGTCGTCCAATCCCTCGAACGCGGACTCGGATTTTCTGGGCCAGTGCTTCCAAAGGTGGACCCGTCTGGATCTTCGTACTTTATCAGCGATGCGGGGCTCATCAGTTTCAAGAGTCGAATATATCAGCTTCAAAAGGACTTCCGCCTAACTCTCACGTCGGAGAGTGCTGCGCAGCTAGCAAAGGGGGTCGGAATGGTCGATTCGGTAAACGCTGCAGTGAAAACATTCTTGGGCACGTTCGGCCCCGCGTGGAAGGCGTTCATCGAGTCGCAAAATATAGTAGGTGATCAGCTGCCTTTCGATTTCTTAGTGAGTGCGGGATGGGCAGGCCACAGCGTGCTTTTATCTGTGGCGTTCGAGACAGACAATGACGATCACGGTCGCAACTTCTTCAAAGTCTGCGTGTACAACCCCGGTAAGGGAACGGACACAGCCGGCTTTCCGATGCGGATTCGGAAAGACGGGCGTATGCAAATTGTGCCTTACATCTGCTGGACGCGCGTACCTCGGGCGAGAATGGACCTCGAAAGCGAAACCACCATTGGCACTGTAGCTCTCAAGGATTCTGTGTTCTCTCCGCCATTTCCGAGGGCTGCGCTGGAGTGGATGCGGCTCCTAGCGTTAAAACACTGCAACAGCGAGGCGACCCATGCAATGGATCCAGGGGATCCAAAGGACCACTGCCAACAGAAGTTTTACCTCGTCCTGGACGACTGGCTGTCATCCACCGCGGATTCATCTCCATCCTCGGATCGTCATTTGGGTGTCGAGCAGAGTGCCACTTTCTGGATCACCCCGCAGCGGAGAGGCGTCTGCGCGTACACGTCCAAACTCGCTTACGTCCGCCACGCTCTCTCAGGGGAGGGCGACGCGGGTCTGCGCATGTATAAACAGGCGGTCGGCCGGTTGCGCCAGTGCGTAGCAAGGCTGGTCACGAAAGAACTCCTTTTTCTGGCGGTGGGGCCATTGTCCTCGAAAAATGGAAATGGAGCGCTGTGTGCCGCACCAAATGACGCTAGTTCTGGTCCAAGCGCCGCGTCGCTTGCTACTGCGTCTGCCAGCTCTTGGGGCCGTTTGCGGGATTGGGTGATTGGAGCAGAGGAGAAGGGTGCGCACTCATTCCGCTCGCGTCTCCTCTCTTGCGAGCAGCGTCAGGTGGAGCGATTCGGGACTCTGGCAAACATGGTGATCCGAAACGTGCCGAAGGCGGCAAAAGTCCTGTGGGCAAAGTATCCGGATCACCTCGAAGAGGAAGACACTTCCTCTCAGCGTGATGGAGTTCTTCCTCCGAGTCCAAATCGTCGCGAAACTGGTGCCTCGTCCACCTTGGCTCACAAAATGAAGCAGGAGAAAGAACTGCTGCGAGACTTCAGTTGCGCATCGCTGTCCCTTGCGGCAATTCTACAAGCCAAGCAGGACGCAAGGATGCGCGATTACGCAGGGCATCCGCGCCTGGAAGCGGCTGCGAACACCGCGCAGGCGGTGGGGTGGAAGTTCGCGATTGCTCCTGTTATGCCCGTACAGGACAAAGAGCAGCGTGGCTTTTCTACTATTTTCCCGCTGCTAGGCGTCTGGGTATGGGCGGAAAGCTGTTTGAAACGCTTGGAAGCACTGGAAGCGAAGTCTTTCCCGAATGCTGTAGATACTTTGCGTGGAGCGTCTGCGGGCGAGCAGCTGGTCTTGCCCAAGCGAACAAGAAAAAAAAAAAAACAAAAAGAAATGCGCGATGCGAGGCAGCGGGTGGTGGAGCCCTCGAAGAAGTCGTCAGAGCCGAGTGCGGCTGCAGCGCGAGGACCGGAGGATCCACACGCGGGCGGGCCTGAAATGGTGCCAAAGGCCTCGGACCGGGAGGCACTCCGGGACTTTGCGCAAGAAATAGCGCGCAAGATGCTCGACGAGGTTTTGCCCAAATGGCTCTCGACGGAGGTGATAGAGGGCGAGATGTCGCAGCGGCCTCCATCCGTGCTAGACTTTCACGGGCTCGCGGTTTTCGCACTTCTTCTGCAAAAACTTTTAACGCATATGATGTTCGACCCGTCTTCTGATCCGGTACTTTGTCCTCTTCAAGCGAAACTGAAAAATGCGAGAAAACAACGACAATCATGAAAGCAAGTCTATGAATTTTTCGCGATCCACATCCATGCTAGCGCTCATCTTGACTTGATCCACCTCCATGATTAACTATTAAAATCAGAAATGGCGTCTTGTCACAACATTTTCATCGCAGGTTTCACCTGCGTCACTGCCTCGCGCAGCACGTTCGGACGGACAAGAAATCTTCTCTGACGTGCAAACACTTTTGCGTGACATTTTCGTGGAGCACGCCGTGCCGCGAGTGGCTCTCCCTTTCTTTGCTTCCGGCATTGGCAAGAGAAGCGAGAAACTTGGACTGCGACTCGCGCCTCCGCCCGCAGCTTGGACCGAACGAAGCGACAAAAATAGGAAGGAGTTTGATGGTTTTGGTTCTCGAGAAGATAACCAGTATCACTTCTACCGTCGCGAAGTCGATTCGCGGGAAATCGCAATGGCTGCGACTGCTTTTCCCGCAACATTCGCGGCCTTAGGGGATTCGCTGAACAGAGTGGAGGGGTTCTATCATGATGATTTGTTCAAAAACGAGAAGGGAAACAAGATAAAGGATCTTGGGACCTTTGATAGCAAAGCATCCTCATCGAACAGATTCTCGTCATGGCTGGCAAGAGGACAGACTTTGCAAGTGTTGCTTCCCTTCGGACAAATGCCGTGGTACTTTGAGGCTGCTTTTGTGCGCCACGTGCCTGACAAGAGGGAGACGCCCATGTGGCACCAGTTGGCTAAGAGTCCGGTTTGCTTTGAGAACGAGAAAATGCAATCCACATCCGACACAGCTGCGTACGAGATCAGCAGTGCGGACTGTTTTTTTGTGTTCGACTTTGACATTACGTGGCGACCTTTACTTTTTTTTCGTTCAGCCGCGAAAACCACGGTCAGCGTCAGCAGAGAGGCTTTTCGAGCAGCGTCAGCAGAAATCACGACCACGGAAGCTTGTGGAGTAGATGTAGAATACGTTGACTCTTCATTCCTATCGAGTCGTGGCGCCGTTGTAAACGTGGCTTCATCTTCTGCTGGATCGGAAAGCGCATCTCGTGAACTTGATGGCGGCGCTTTCCATCCGAACTTGCCGCCTATACGACCTCTCCCTCGCTCAACAGTCGAAGTCGAAGAGCCAGAAGTCGTAGATGATGAGACTGACGACACTAGAACTCCGCAGCCACCTCCTACCAGCTTCCTCTACGTAGCAGAGCGGCAATCTAGTCTCGACGACACCACTCCGAAGGAACGCGCGCCCATCATTACTTACGAACAGCTGAGGGGGTTCCAGGCTAGAGTGCGGTCCATCATCGCCGGCGGCGTCGCTAGTCGTGAGCATACCCTTGCAGAATTAACAAAGAAGCTGCAAGCGTGGCGCGATTGTTCAAAAGCGGCCGAGTACGTAAAGCACACTGTCTGGGACCGGGGTCCGCTGCAGTCGCCACGCGATGGCGCTATTGGCATTCCTCGAGACCGCGACATTTGGCCCACGCGTCATCGCGTCTGCAGCGATGTGCTAAAACGTGGAATGAATACCATGCACGAAAGAGACCAATTTGGTCCACGTGGCTACAAGGACCCTCCTACCTCCGCAGCTGCTGCAAAGTCTCCAGAAGCAGAAAGCGCCACTTTGTTAAAACAGCTCGATTCTCTGCGGGAGGCGTTAGTATTCGTGGAACGGCTCTCGACCGAGTGGAGTATGCAGGCAGTGATCGCCGACCCGTCACCCGCGGAGGCTGGCGCGTCCGACAATGAGTGGCCACTCTGCGGGGCGCAGAAGATTGCGAAAGGCGGCGCACGGGGAAACTTGTTGAAACTGGAGCCATCCGCGAACGTTTCACCCCAAGAAAATAGAGGGATGCGCACGCGTGCGAGCCAGTTCGGCGAGCGCGTGAAGGTAGCCGCGCCTGAACAGCAGCTTTCTGATCAAGCAAGTGTGGTAGTAAATGCGCCAGTAGGCTTGCGCCGTCATTGGAGGAGGTGTGAAGCACGGGGAATGCGGAGCCGTGAAGCAGAAAGTCTGATGGACTTAGTGGACGCGGAGGCTTTTCTAACCCGAAATGCGGTGTATGTCACGCATGAGTCGGAGTCGGAGACGATGCCGCGACCTAGAGCGGATTCGGAAATGGTGAAGAAGGAGAAGTGGACCAGCCTGGACGACCCTAGTTCGGACTGGATACGCCGGGGCGACTGGAGTGACACGGACTACTTCAACTCCAAAGGACAGACGGAGAAGGCGTTTGAACATACAGAGCTGTCGGAGGAAGATCCTGCTCCGGGTTTTTCACATGTGAAGGAGGCGCTTCGGTCTCCTCGCCGTTCGTTCGCGCAGTCCTTGCACCTGGCACACCGAACGGCGAATTCTTGGCAAGACTCTGTGCTTCAGCAAGCGGCGGGGCTGAAAGAAGAGGACGTAGTGCTAGACTCTCACAATGGAGTTGCAGGATCCGAAGGAGGCGGCAGAGAGAAAACGAAAAGTGAGCCAGCTACGATTGCAGAGCGCGAGCGGGTCGACATCTTCGCGACGGCCATGCGGCCATTGAAGTGTGGCTCCTTTGCATCACAGTCACTTCCGCCGTTCGGCAGCGCGGTAAGTAGCTACGCTGCCTTGTCAGGCTGCCTGCAACACGACCAGCCAGTGAGCATGTGTGCCTTGGGATTGTACGCCAGGTCACCCTTTTTCGTCAATGATGGCAACGATGAACAGGCCTTGTTCGAGTATCTAGTCGCGGGGAATTTTGCGACGGACCTTGCAGCGATAGCAGGCGCCCGACGACCGGCGAGTGGAGAAGCGAAGGTGGTCAGCGACGTTAGATCAGGAGAACACGTAGCGTCGGCACTTGAGACGCGGTTCGTGGCTTTCTTCCGTCATGAAGTCCTGGAGCCGCTAGCCACTGTAGTCCCACGATCGCAACGACGCACGTCTGCTTCTTCGCTGAGCAGGGTCGAAAAGCTGTTCTTCGCCTCGTCAGATGATGATGGTGGGAGTGGTTCCTGTGAGGAGGAGGGGAGCTTCGACCCCGTTTCTACTTCTGTCGATGAGGGCTTCGATTTGGTTACGCATCTGAGCAGGCAGGGCAAAAACGTGATTTACCTCACCTTTGTTTGCGTCAAGGCAGTCTCGGCGCTCACTGCCTGGACAGCATCAGCAACACGGGATCAAACTTTGCCTGCGGAAATTGAGCGGCGGCTTGCACACATCTACAACCGACTGGAGGAAGACCTGTTGCTTCCCATCCTGCGACTAATTTTGGGCGTGATTAAGGCGCTAGCGCGCTGGAGAGAGAGCGAAGGCGGAAGGACACAGCAAGTGGACGAGCGCAGTTTGCGGCTGATCGCTCTGTGCACTCCACTCCAAAAAGTTGTCCTGTACTCGCTCTCCTCGCTTTTCGAGCACTGTGCCAAGAATCTGAACACCGTAGCAGCAACAGGAGCAACAGAACCACCTACAGAAGACGGACAGGCTGCTGCTGAGAACAAGCAAAACGAACTCCACGACGTCGCCACGAGGAAGTACAAAAACTTGAGAGCGTTTGCTTTCGAGTCCCGCGCAGCAGCGTGGGCGCCAGCGATTGCGGAAGTGCTGGCGCCGTTGCCAAGCATGCTGGAGACGTCGTCGCTAAGGGCCGCCGGCCTGAGCGTAAGGCAACAGCTTGAGATGGAGCTTCAGCTGGAGCGCACGCGACTGCTCTGGGAGAGTCACATAGAGGACGCAAGCGAGCGCTCGAACGACTCGCTTCACAACGAGGCCTATTACAAGTGCATAGTCGGAGACGGTGACCGAGACGAAGAAGCGAGATCTGCACACCTCATGAGTACAACCAAAATCCTTCCGCTTGGTGCCACCGCGTTGAGGAAGCGACCCTTTCTGCGGGCGGTGCGCAGAGCCCTCGCCTTAGAGCTGGCATTGCCACTGCTTCCCTTAGCAGAGGAGACGGACCAAGACAGACTGAGGAGAGCCTGCAAAACGAGTGAAGGAGGAGGTAGATCTTATATATGTACCAGGGAGGGAGGCCCCCCCTGTGGATGGATCTGTGGTGGACCACGCCAGAGGGGTCCAGCCTGGGCACCTTTGCCACGTCTGTCGAGGGGCTGCCAGGCGGGAAGGCCTCAAAGCGCCCACTTCTGACCCCTTCCCGCTTCTTGCCTAGGGGTCATCTTGTTGCCTGTACCCTACAGACCTGGCAAAGGTGGCAAAGGCAGGGCCCAGCCTTCCCTTGTCACCTTTGCCAGGTCTGTAGTGTTGGGCACATGCAACACGCCAGAGGGGTCCAGCCTTGCCACCTTTGTCAGGTCTGTAGGGTACACGCAACAAGGCAGCGGGGCCCTGCCTTTGCCAGGTCTATAGGGGGGGCCTGCCTCCCTGGTGCATATTTGCGCCAGGTCTGTAGGGTACACGTACAGGCAACAAGGCAGCGGGGCCCTGCCTTTGCCACCTTTGCCAGGTCTGTAGGGTACATGCAACAAGATGACCCCTGGGCAAGAAGCGGGAAGGGGTCAGAAGTGGGCGCTTTGCGGCCTTCCCGCCCGGCAGCCCCTCGAAAAGAGGGGCCGGGGCTGGCAGGCCCCCCCTCAAAAAGTTATGGATCGGGGGGGGGCCTCCAGCCTGGAGCCTTGGAACAGATATACGATTCAAGGCTGGACGGTGCCCCCCCCTGTGGTCTGGTCTGTGGTGGCGCGCGCGCGCGCGCTTTTCCGCGCGGGTTTTCGCGGATTCTAGTGGTGGAAGGCGTCAAAACTTGGCGTGGGCGTCCCCTTGGGCCTCTCAGCGTGTTCCCGAGGGACCTCCTGGCCTCTGCTGACCCTCGCAGGCGGGAAGCCTCTGGGGTAAAAGGCCGCCGAAGGCGGCCACGGTCGCAAGAGCAAGCAAGCAGGCGACCAAGGGCCCGGAGGGTACAGGCGGCACGGCTCAGGGGGTCCAGCGCCTCGCCCTTTGCCGCCTTCGGGGGGCTTCCACTGCTGGCGCACTGCTACGGCGGTGAAGCCTAGCGGATCGGATGCACCTAGGGCACAGACAGGCACCTGGACGGGAGCGCAGGCGGTCCCGTGGGCCCTTTTTGAAGCCTCCCACGGCACCATCATCGGAGGCCCGTAGGGAACAGCCAGGCAGACGGCAGGGAGCGTAGAGGGGAGGCAGCTTGGCCTCGTTTTGAGGCCTTCCACCCCTGGCAGATGCCTTAAAAAGGGGCCCAGGGCGCGCGGTGCCTTCCCGCAAGGGGGGCCGAACGCCCTAGAGCTGTCCAATCCAAATGAGTCCCACCGCATACTCTCCCCTATTATCTAAGGGCGGTTCTTGTTGCTCTCTTTGATGCGTCACGCGTCATGCCTCCCACGTCACGCCGCACATGAGAGGCGTGGCGCGTCACATGAGAGGCGTGACGCGTCACGCGTCGCCCCGAAGCCACGCATCACGCGCCCACGGATCTATCACGGGCCCGCGGATTTATCAAGGATCCACGGATCTAGCAAGGAGCCACGGATCTATCAAGGATCCACGGATCTACCAGCCCAAGGGCTCGCGGATCTATCAAGGGCTCGCGGATCTATCAAGGACTCGCGGATCTTTCAAGGGGCCGCGGATCTACATCTATCAAGGGTCCGCGGATCTATCAACGGCCCCCGGATCTATCGAGGACCCCTCCACGGATCTAGCATGGATCCGCGGATCTCTCAAGGATCCGCGGATCTATCAAGGATCCGCGGAGCGATCGAAGACCTGTGGAGCGATCGAAGGTCCCCGGATCTTTCAAAGATCCCCGGATCTATCGTACTATCAAAGATCCGCGGAGCTATCAAAGATCCGCGGAGCTATCAAAGACCCGGGGACCTATCAAAGGTCCGCGGATCTATCAAAGACCCACGGATCTAGCAAGGGTCCGCGGATCTATCAAGGATCCGCGGATCTATCAAGGGTCCGCGGATCTATCAAGGGTCCGCGGATCTATCAAGGGTCCCCGGATCTATCCGGCATCCATCCCCGGACCTATCAAGGACCCACAGATCTAGCAAGGATCCGCGGAGCGATCGAAGACCCGTGGAGCGATCGCAGATCCGTGGAGCGATCGAAGCTCCCCGGAGCGGATCTATCAAAGACCCCCGGATCTATCAAAGCTCCACGGATCTACCAAAGACCCTCGGATCTATCAAAGACCCGCGGATCCATCAGGGGTGGGGGTCCTTGACTCAGAGTGAGAGGCCCACCTAACTAAACTCGCAGACGCTTACCGTAGCGCATTCCGACGCAGCTTTCTAATGCAATTAGAGGCGCGGCAGTACGATAATCAACGCCCGCGCTCAGTGTCGGGCGGTAATGTAAAAACAACGAAGACACCGAGAAGCGGCCTACGTACTTTCTATCTGCCACTTGGCTTGCCTTGACTTGAGGCGCCCACCGATCAGGCGGAGCGGGATTCTGTCTATCCCTTGTCTCCATAATCTTCAAGGGGGTGCCCCTCTTCAAAGGATTAAAAGACCCCAACTCGGCCCCGCAGCTACTTTCTGCCACTTCTGGACACTGGCCACGGCGATTAGCTGGCGGCTCGATTTAGATGCAGAGCCGAGCGCGCGAGCCCGGCCCCAGGGCCCAGTGTAGGCTGTTGGCAGTTCTCTGCTTCCAGCCACATTAGAGAGCTTCACGCAAGGGCAAGGGGGTGTCTACAATTATCAAAATCAAGCCCCTTCAGCTTGTTGCTGCTTGCGTGCTGCGTGACGCTTGCAATTGAATGCAAACGCCTCACTTTCCTGAAGCTCTGCGCGTGACGCGGTGGGTGTCACACGTCACGAAACAGCTCTACGGCGTTCAATAGGTTCCGCGGTGCTTGCCTCCCCCACGCTAGGGGGGGCACCGTCGCCCCGCGCCCTGGGACGTATATTAGTACTTATAGGGTTAGCAATAATTTGCGAAATCCTTAAGAGACTCCTTTAAGTGGCTTCCTTAAGGAAAACCCTTTTCCTTAAGGAATTTCTATTACGAAAAGTTATTATAACTTTCCTTAAGAGAAAAAAAATTCCTTAAGGAAGCTCCTTAAGGAAAAGTTGTAATAGCCCTTGGCTAATATTAGACCCTTCCTTAAGGGATTGTTCGCAAGGACTCGCAAGGCTCTCTAAGTAAAGCCTTTGCGCTGCTAGTGCTACGAGTGGAAAGGCACCGCGAACATGTTAACGCGTTCGCGGCTGTTAGTTTGTAGGCTACTCACGTACCCAGCCACATCTGCAGCAGGACACTACGCGCCCACCCCTAGCGAATCGCCCCAACGAACTTCCAGCCGCTACCCTTGTTATTTAATTATCGCCCAGCGCCTTTACTTTTTTTCAAAAACTTCAGGGAGGTCATTCAAATACAGAGAAAACGGAACGACCCCCCTGAAGTTTTTGCAAAAAAGTTAGCTCGCCCCCCTTCCGCGACTACCTTCCGCACACAGCAATCGACCACAGGAGCGCGCGGCAGCCCTTGGAGATGGTTAACCAGTATACTTCTAACCAGCTCACCAGGGTCCACCCTTCAGCCATGCAAGTCCTCACGGCTATCATTCTCACAGACATCGACATCCTCAACGGCTTCGACTTTGACACACAGCGATGCACATCTTTGGCCTTCTCATGGATATGATGATGCTCACCAGGGTCCACCCTTCAGACATGCAAGTCCTCACGGCTATCATTCTCACAGACATCGACATCCTCAACGGCTTCGACTTTCACACACAGCGATGTATATCTTTGGCCTTCTCATGGATATGATGATGCTCACCAGGGTCCACCCTTCAGACATGCAAGTCCTCACGGCTATCATTCTCACAGACATCGACATCCTCAACGGCTTCGACTTTCACACACAGAGATGTATATCTTTGGCCTTCTCATGGATATGATGCATGACGCTCACCAGGGTCCACCCTTCAGACATGCAAGTCCTCACGGCTATCATTCTCACAGACATCGACATCCTCAACGGCTTCGACTTTCACGCGCAGAGATGTATATCTCTGGCCTTCTCATGGATATGATGACGCTCACCAGGGTCCACCCTTCAGGCATGCAAGTCCTCGCGAAGCCGTTGAGGATGTCACCTCCCCAGCCTTCCCTTCTTTGACACAGTGGGAGCCATCTTCCCAGCCTTGGCGAGCAGACTTGGCGACTTTTTTCGTTTGTCTTTCTGTCTCTTAGTAGTCAATCTGTCTAGTTGTTAACCTATGCCCGGCGCAGCGGGCCCTTGATGGGCCCGCTTTCTGGGCATGTATAGATACCGTAGAGCATTTGGTGAGAAGATGGGCGCTGGGTTGCATGGATGGCAATGCATTTGCATAGCATGCACAGCATGAGTCGAAGGGGGTCAGAGCGGGACTCTCTTAAGGGAGCGAAACCGAAACGAGGACGAAAGCAAACTGATGGCGTGGTCTAAAGGCTTTTGCTGCGGGTTGTTCTTTGCTGCGGGTTGTTTTCTGCTGTTGTTGTGGAGGCTTAGCGGCGTTTGTTTGTAATGGGTCAGCTGCTCTTTGCATTCGTACAGGCACAGCCAGCCTTCTTTAGCCGCCCCCCCTCCTCAGTGCAGCTGGAGCACGCCGAGCGCCTGCCCTGGAGCTTGTCTGCGCTTTCTCTCAAGTGAGAGATCGGGCCTGCATTATCTAAATAACCCGACTAGCTTGCCTCGGCTCTTGACTTTCTTACTCGCTTGCTCCTCTCTTGCGCACACAGGCCCCGGCGCTTGTGCTGCTCTTCGCTTGTGTCTGGGGCGAGGTCGCAGTGGGGTAGTCGGTTGCGTTTGTGTTCGTTGTGCCGTTGCGTAATTCCTCAGCGAAGAACCCCGGCACTGCGGGCGAATTATGGCGCCCGAAGGGCGCTGCGAAAAATTTAACGTTTTTGGGATGCATGGCCCATCTGTGCCCTGCTTGCATGCCACGCAGTCCACAACTTCAAGAGGGAGGCAGCTCTCTGATATAGCAGAAAACCCCGGCAAGGACTGCCAAAACCTGGACAGTATTCAGCCTCTTCGGGCATGGTATGAATCTGCAGAACACTCGCCGCTTACTGCGCTCCCTCCAGCAAAACCCCCCCGCAATTGCGAGCAAAGAACCGCGGGCACCCTCCAAGCCCCCGCGCCCCTCCAAAATCCCCCCGCACACGTCTGCAGGCTGATGCTTGCGGTGGACCCTGGAGGGGCGCGGGGAACCACAGTAAACGAAACCAAAAAAAAGAAAAACCAAGGGGGAGCAAGCTGCAAAAGCCCCGAGCTGGAGCACTTCTAGGACCAGTAGGCCACAAGCGTGGCCGTTTTTGTGCAGTTCTTAGCAGACTCGGCGCCATCTGAATCAGCCACCTACGTACGGAAGCACCAGAGGCACCCGGAGCACGCGACAGCTTCGAAACTGAACAAAAAGAGGGCGGGGGGGCGCGGGCTCTTTGGAACTGAGTGAAGCGGCAGCCGGTCCAGCCCTCCTCGAAAAAGGCCACGAAGTTCGGCGCGTCTCTCTATGTATTGTTTGCCGGGTAGTTCTTGACTGCAGGGCTGTGCTTGGAAAACAACCAGAACACAGCTGCCCAGTTTTTTCGCCAAGGATGGCCAGCCTTGCGAGCAGGGGCCCGGCACTTAGTCGAGGGGCTTAGTCAATGCGGGTGAAACCGCCGAACGGGCGGGACCTGGTTCCCCAGTGAAATACTTCAAGAGAGTGCGAACAACGCCAGCAAACCCCCCGACAATCTGCGCACACACGGCGGCGCGCGTGAGTGGTCTGACTGGGGACATTTAAAGGCGGCGGCGCGTCATGTCTCTCTTCCTTGTAACTAATCCCACGCGTGGGCCATCTCTTAGGCACACCCCTACACCCATCGAGCGGCGGGGGGTGGGCTCTCCTGACTTAATGTCCCCGCCTGGCGCGAGAGCCGTGGGGCGCCGGGTGGTCAAAAGTTCAACGCTGAACAACATCAAAAGACCCAAGGACGAAGAACCTGGGGCGGAGTGCCTCGGGCCTCTCTGATTATGGCGAAAAATCTGACCGCAGACGACTGGGGCCCGGTGTTTCTAATCAACCACCTGCGGAAGCACCAGAGGCGCAGCGAGTACGCTACACCGTCGAAACTCAACAAAAAGCGGAGGCGTAGGCTCTTTGGAGCTGAGGCGGCACCTGGTCCAGTCTTTCTTGAAAAAAGCCACGAAGTTGCGGCGGTCTCTCTGTTGTTTGCCGGGTTCTTGACTGCGAGGCCGTTTGTGGAGCAGAAATTGGGAGACAGCTCGCCAGCTTTTTCGCCAAGGATGGCCGTGTGATCAGGAGCCTGGTACCTAATGGAGAGACTTGGCCACTCAAATTCGGCAAAACCGCCGAACGGTTTCGCGCTAAATGAAATACCTCAAAAGAGTGCGAACAACGTGAGGCAGCTAACCCCCCTGCCAATCTGCGCACGCACGGCGGCGCGCGTGAGCGGTCTGGCCATGCATTTGGCGGCGGTGGTGTGTCTCTCTTCTTCGTAACTATTCTTGCCCCCACGCGCGGGCCATCTTCTAAGCACACCCCAACACTCATGGGGTGGCGGGGGTGATCTCTCCCAGATTAATATCGCCACGCACCCGGCACGAGAGCTGGGGGGCGCGGGGTGGTCAAAAGTCCAACGCTGAACAACATCGAAAGACCCCCGAAGCAACCCCGGGCGGAGCCGGGGCGCCTCAGGCTCCTCTGATTATGGCGAAAAGCCTGACCACAGACGCGCGGGGCTTGAATGGAGAAAATTCCAGCAAGGAATGCAAAAATCTGGACAGTATCCATTTGGCCCTTTTGGGCATGATATGAATGAATCCGCAGAACACTGGCCGCTTATTGTGCCTCTTTCAGGAGAACCCTCCCCCAAGTGCCGCGAGCAAAGAACCTGAGGCACCCGCCAAATCCCCGCGCCCCTCCAGAACCAGAATCCCCCAGCAAACTTCTGCAGGTTGATGCGGTGGACTTTGGAGGGGCGCGGGGAACCACATGAAACGAAACCAAAAGACAGAAAAACCAAGGGGGGAGCAAGTTGCAGAAGCCGCTAAGCGGAGCACTTCCAGGACTAGGGGGCAACAGTAGCGGGCGCCTTTGTGCAGTTCTTAGCTGCCTTATTATAAGTGTCGCGCGTTCTCACTCAGAGCAGATAACTAAGTTGTAGCGCAGCTTGCTATAGCTGCTGGCAGGTCGTGGCGCCATCCATCGTCATGCGCTCACGTTCTTAGACTTGTGCTGCCACGCATCTACCCCTAGCTCGACTGCTGAAAAATCTGAATGATCTTGATCATGATCTTTCTCCAAGTCCAAAAGCCATTGCAGTGACATTTTTATGAAAGTCAAAGTAAGTTTGGACTAGAGTCCCAGCAAGACAGAAAGCAAGCACTTCTTTCAACGTCAGCAGGTCTGATCGAGTTGTTTCCTAGGGCTTCGGCAGAATGAGCTTGAGCCCCCTCGTCCATTGTCTTGTCAGGTACTCCGACGGTTACGTTCTACAGGCTGGCCGGTGTCTCAAAGTGGAGCCCGCTTTACTACGCGCAGGCAGAAGGACAGCAAGAAGAGGAGCCGCAAGAGGAGGACGGCCTCTTCTACTTGCATGCTGTTCCAGGCACCGGGCCTTACGAATGCTACAAGTGGACCACTACGAAAGCGCGCAGCTTTTTTCGTGATCGATACGCTGGAGAGGACCCGGGAATTTTACTCCGTCGCCCTCTAGGTCCAAGACTGGGAGATCCTCTGGTCTTTAGGAAAGTCGGCACCGACAGCACGGCTTTGCTTGATCTGCTCCTTGTTGAGGGGGGCGCTCCTACCTTTTTCGTGCGGCAAACGGACGCCTCTCTGTCATACGGCAAGACGGACGCCTCTCCACCTTCGGAGATTCGCGGAAGCATTCTTCTTCCCGCCAGTGTGGAAGTCGCAGGAAGTCCGAGGAATTGCGGCTGCTTGCCTGGCTATTCCACTGCTGCAAGAGCGCGGACGGTAGGCCATGCGGCGCCGTGCGGGTTGCTGCACCTGTCAAACAAGTACGGGCTTCCAGAGCTCGCAAGCGTCAGCAAGAAGACGGAGGATGCGAGTGGGTCTGTGACCCTTTCTGGATTGCAGCTGCTGGCACAGCTTTCTTTTTCTCTCATGATTTCTCCTGATGATGTTCTAATCTGGGTAGCCCCAGCGCTGCGCGCTGAAGTTGGGGCATATTCGATCTGCGGAGTCCAAGTCCCGCTGTGGGCGGCGAATGCACATGCCGGCGCGTTAGCGGCGGACGCCAGCTGGCTCACATTTGTACCGGGCGGCACCTCTCAGGAAGCGGAACTCGTGACCACGAACGAAGACACAAGGGCCTCGTCAGATAAGGTCTTTGACACACTTGCGGAGCGGTGGATCGTGGAGAATTTCAGGACGTTGCCACACGAGAAAGAAAATTTTGACGACGACAAGAACCCGACAGCGAGTGTGGTGGTTCTCGACTACGACCGGCTACCTTGCTTCACGCTCCCCCGCTGGCAGAAGAGGGCCACGACTCTACCTCTAGTTGTCGAACGGCAGCGAGCTTCTACTCAATCTCAAGCGAAAAAAAAAGGGCCAGCTTCTCCCGCCCCACGGCGACTTCAACTAGCTCGGGTTGTTCAGCATGCAGATGGCGTGCACACGTTTAGTGCGACAGACCATGCTCGACCACTGCAGCACGCAGCCACGCAGCTGCATGCACTGGGGCGGAAGTGGCATTCTCAACAGGCTGAAGGTGCCATCGAGGAGAAAGCCGCCCCGCTTCCTGCTGCCCGTGAGATATCCAGGCCAGAGAACGCCTTCGCACGGACGTTCTGCCTCTTCGAACAGGCCGGCGATGATGAGACCACTGCTGGAATAAAAGCGATAGCTGCAGCATCAGACGAAGTTGGTCCGAAAAGGTTCTGTCTGCTTTATCTTCTTTTTTTAGAAATGAAGGAGCCCGGTGCAGCGAGTAGTGCGCTGGTGACGGTTGATAAGATTGTGGCCTCATCGCCACATGGAGCAGTGTCAGAGGCATTGCGGGAATTCTCCTTGGAGGAGGACGAAGAAGCCACAGGAGGACAACGCAGCTACGCCGCAGATGAGTCCCAATTTGGCGGTGGAGGTCCAGCTCGCATTCAGCTTGCTCTTGCGGAGAGAATCGTCCTCGGCTGGATTTGCTCGGTGTTTTCGATGGGAGAAAGTACAGACTCTACACACGACGCAGCATGGGACGAGCTCAAGGCGGTCGCCTTTCTGCAGCTTGTTCTGCACTTTTTGGACGACATAACGACTTTCGGCGGAGGCAAGTCGCCTGCAAGAATGTGTGCAGACGTTGCGCGCGCGCACATAGTACAGAGCGCACAGGGCACGAGCGCCGGAGCACGCGGGCTTAGCCTGGAGGCGCGACTTCCGGGCGGAGCGGCCCAGGTCGGCAAGCTCGTCTACGAATTGTTCGTCCGCGATCTCGGCGCAACTGCTGAAGTTCCTCTGTATGTTCGAAATTGGCTTGCAACAATGCAAGGACGGCAGCGCGACGCAGCAGCAATCTCGAGTGAAACAGCGCAAACTCTGGTAGTGCAGAGCAGCCAAGCAGTGGAGCTCCGCGGCATAGACAGGTGTATGCCCTTGCCCATTCTCCTCGGCTCACAAGGCTTGTCACATGTGCAGAACCCTCTACAGCGGCTTCGCTGCAGTGTTGACGGATGTTTTACCCAGGGTGGCTCGAAGGGGGAGCTGCTTAATCGACAACCGGACAGAGAACTTCCTGTGTGTTTTGCCTACGTTTATACACTGCAAGCGCCTGGCGCCTGGCACGATGAAGCAGAACCGGCCACAGGCACAGCGCCAGCGCTGGCCAACTTCTTACCACCTGGCGCTGGGGTGAGGGCCAGGGCTTCTAGCGTTCCCCCTTGGTGTAAAAGTACATCTTCAACAACTTCAATCTCAATCAGCGAAGATCTTACGAAAGATTCGGTCTGGGCGATTCAGCTCTCCATCCTGGGTCACGAGACGGAGTCCGCCTCGAAGCACGGACTGACCACGCCCGCGCTGGACTGGCGCTCGCTCCTCGCACTCTTAGCGGACTCCGGATGCAGACGGTGGACACGAAAATTCGCTAAATCAATATCCGACCAAAATAGAATTGCGCGTCTCCACTTTCGCGTAAAGACGCTTGCTAAGCGTTTACTGCTCGAAAAGCGGCCAGCATTCTCTCCTGAAAGACGGACACCAGATGAGCAGCCAAAAGCCGCGAAATCGACAGCGCGCGCAGCAATCGAAGCCATGGGTGAGGAGTTGCTAGCGTTTCAGCTGTTGCAGGATATCACACTCCGCGACGATCAGCGTGAAGCGCTGGAAGCATTGGACTGGCCTCGCGACGAGGAAGCGGGGACTTTCCAGCTAGCGATGCCCGTCATTTCGCATCCGTGCGCATTTGACGACCGACCGACCGACCGCTCGAACGTTGCTCATGAGGACCGTGCAGTAGGTGGAAGCCCCGGCCTGCAAGGTGGGCGGAAGGTTTCGAAGGTTCAGAATTACTCTCCGGCCCGTGTCAGGTTCCTGCTTCTGCGTATGGGGTTCGGAAAAACGAAAGTGCTCTCGCCCCTCGTCAGCATGCTTTTCTTGTACAAAGGCTTCCTGCCGATCACGGTGATGCCGCCAGCGCTGTTTCAGATCACGCAAAATGACTTGCGACACTCCTTACGCGAAGCGCAAATCCACGTGCAGCCATTTTTTGCGTCGGAGGCGGCGGCTGACGCGAGTGCGCTGCGTAGGCTTTCGGCTGAGGAATGGGAAGGAATTGCGGACCGGCTGCGACTAGCCGTTGCGGAAGGCACTACGACTTTTGTCGCCCAGCCGTTTCAAATTCGAGCACTGGCGCCGCTCGAGGATATCTTTTGGCACCAATGGCACAGGATGAGAGAGTCGAGCAGCGCAGCTACCCACGATGCCGAACCACTGGAAAAAATCAAAGCAAAGGCAGCTGCACTGTCTCAGGTTAACGCGCTGGTCCGGGAAAGCGCACACTTGCTGTTGGATGAGATGGATGACCTGATGCGAGCCGGCACATCCGTGGTCCTCCCGCTCGGGGAGCAAGTTGCACTAGGAGAGAATCTGCTGAAGACTGTGGTTTGTGATTGGCTCTTCGATGGATTACTTGGAGGTAAACTACTTGAGCACCATGACGAGAGTTTGCTCGCAGAGGTCGTGCGCAATACTTTTAGTTCGACGAACTGGAAGAGCCTATTACTCGAAGCAGCCCGAGCCGCGCAACCGCAGGCAGAAGCGCTCGCTTCTGCATCTTCGTCTACTGCTGATGGGGTCCAGAAACTCGGCACCGCTTTCGTGGAAGCAATTTTTTCGACGGAGCTGCCAGCCGCTCTTGCGGCGGAACCAGGAAGGGACTACGGATTCTCATTCGCAAGCCCGAGTCTCGGCATCGTAATTCCCTACGGGGGGCCGTGGGCACCTCGAGAAAGCTCCCGCTTTCAGAAGCCATGGCAATCCGTTTTTCGAACTGTGTTGCTGCTGCTTTCTGTGCAGCCAGAAGTCGACGGCGCGGGCAAGGGCGTTGGCGATGCGTGGCAGCGTCGGCGATACATGCGAGCGTTTCTGCTCGACCTGGCGCGGCGAGCGGACGCGGACGCTGTCGAAGCAAAAAAGCAGCTGCTGGACCAGTATGTCAAAGAAGCTGTGGGCGCCAAGAATAGAAGAGGGCACAAGATAACGCAGGAGCCTGCCTTTCAACAGGTTCTGGCAGAATCTTTGTCACCGGCAAGAGGTGGAGTCGCCGCTGAGGACGCTTTTACCTTCAGTGAGGCAGCGCAGCTCGTGGCCCCCACTGAAACGGCCAAGATCAATGACGCCTTTGCGGGGGTGATGCAGGAAGTCGACACAGAGGGGCCCGCCCGGGAGCAGGGTCTACCGGCAACGCCCAGACGAACCTTTGGAGCCCGACCCCCGAAGAAAGAGGGGGCAGCGTCGGAGGCTCTGGTCATGGCCTCGCTAAGGGCATTTGCCATCTTCCGCGCCAACCTCTTGCAGTCAACAAGTGGAGAGCCCTCTGGCGGGGAGCAGAGGCGAGTTGCTTTTTCCTTCTTCCGAGCCTACTTCCGTTTCCTCTGTCGCAAGGTGTTCAGTGACAAGTACCAACTCGGTATATATCTGGAATACAGCGAAGGGACCTCAATCGACCTTGCAACGACAGGGGCAGCGATCACAGGATGGAGCGGCACGGAGGAAGAGCATGAGGCGTTTCCTTACTGGGTGAAAAAAGATCGCCGTAGCGATACCACAGAGGCTATCTATCAGAGGATGGCGCGCATGCCCAGTCCTCAGGTGAGGGTAATCAACACGGGAAGCCCCGCGCAGTCGCTCGCCAACACACCAGCCGCCAGGGCGTCTGACTCCGATGGGCACGAAGCGGCCGGCGGGCGCAGGCTCAGCCCCGTTGATCTATTGTCTCCGGAGGCCATCGACAGCGACGCGAAACCCCATGAGGGGGCGGCCAAGCTTGCGCCGCTGCATGGGGTGATCGACGCTGGTGCGCTCTTGTGGAATTTTCACGAAGAGGAAGTCGCAACTTCCTTCTTGCGGTATTTTCTCGACTTCCGCAACTCTGCGTCTAGAGTCGAGCAGGACAAGGGCCGGGCGATGTTTCCTGCTGTCGCAGTTGCGTTCCATACGTTTTCCGGCAGGTTGGCCGTGAAGGTAGGAGAGGTCAAGACGATCGGCGCCGAGCGCGTGTGGACTGTTCGCGCAAAGCCCATTATCATGCGTGGCAGTGATCACGAAGACATCGAGAGGGTGGTCGTGAAAGACTTGAAGCTCCATGAGCTGGCTGGAGTCTCAGCAGAGGAGTGGCGGAGGCTTCTGTTTTGTTACTACTCCACGAAGCGAACGACCGGCGTCGATTTTCCTTTGCCGAAAACCAAGGCGCGCGCCCTGCTCACGAGTGGGCCGCGGGTGGCGGCGTCGCGATTGCGACAGGCTGCGCTGCGGGCCCGCCAGTTCCTCGAGAAAGATGGCCAACAGCTACAGGTGGTGGTCACAGATGAAGCACTGAAAATCTGGGAGAAAGCAGGACGCGAATCATGGACAGGAGGAAGCCTAGCTTTCAGCGATATTATTTCGGCTGCGACAGGCGTCGAGGCCTCAGCCGTGGCACAGTCTCAGCTCTACGCGCTGCAGCTAACCATGCGAGGGCTTGCTTCCGATTTCGCGCATCGAGCAAGGGCTAACTTTTTTAGCATGATAGAGGTAGAGCTACAGCAGCGGGACGAGGACAAAGACACGGAGAGGGCCGCGTGCTTGGTTGCAGGGCAAGATCTTTTAGTCCAGAAAGTTTCGGAAACTGAAAGGGACTTCGGCTATGAGTCGCTTCCAGAAACTGACGATGGCACGCCGCAAGGACACTTGACGACAATGCTGAAGGAAGCTGAAAATCTGCAGACGAGCTTGACCGCAGGCGTTTACAATGTTGCAGAAGCTTGCAAATATCAGTCTGAGGCGGTCACAACAATTGGGCGCATCAATTCCGTGCGCGATTACTTGAAAAAGAAGATCCAAGAAGAGAGCGAAAGCAGCAGCAGCCGGGTCACCGCAGGCACTTCTGAAGATGCTGGAAGCAGTTGGCTACAAGGACAAAAGGAGATGATGGTGGAACAAGAAGAGGATAGAGAAGAAGAGCAGGAGATGGAGCGGGAATCCGAGCGCGACCTAGCGTTTGGGTTTGGCTCCATTCGGATCTACGAGCCCAGCCCGGAAGACGGCAAGCTGGAGGTGCGGTGTGAGTCCTCTTCAGATTCAGCAGATTTCCGCAACGCACCTGTTGGCATGCCCTTGATTCCGCTTGCGCAAATGCCCCTTCCCACACGCGCGCAACTACTTGTGAAGGAATTTAAGCTCGCAGGCAGTATCGGGTCAGCTCGCGCTGCGCCGTTTCTCGACGGTTTTTACTTGTCACGCAGGTTCCCAGTTTTCTTCAAGCCAGAAGACGGCACCACAGGCATGCCGCAGATACCAATTGACCATCCCAAAGTCTCGCTCAGCTGGAGCGTTCGGTCGCTCGACTTGCGCTTACTGCGGCGCGCGTGCGTTTTTTTCGTGATCTTCAATAATGGAGAAACGGCTATGCCTATGAGGGTGAGCGCCCCTGCTTTCTTCTTTGCGGAGACCATTCAGGACTGCCGGCTCGCGCGGGACGCAATGATGGACGGCCGCAACCCGGAAGAGGCCCACGTCGTGTTTGAGCGGGTGCTCGACTTCTCACCGGTCATCCCAGCAGGCGGCGGCCAGGAGTTTGATTTTCTCCAATCCGCAACAGTGCACATGCCAGATGAAGCTGAAATTTCGGCGAAGCAGGGTGGCGCACTCTCGCTCTCGGGAGAACAGCAGTCCCAGACGCAAATGGCGCTATGTGAAATGAGCATCCGAACTCAGTTGCTGCTTGGGGACTCACAGATGCTTCTGCGGCTGCTCAGATATGAGGAGCGCCGCGAATTGCAGAGGCGACTTGAACCATCGAGCAAAACGGGGCTGCGCCCAGTTGTAGACGTGTGCGGGGACACGCATCCGTTCCCATACACACGAACCATGCTGAGGGTGATTTGCAACGGAGCGACGAAAGGGAGCGAAGCTCCGTACGCCCAGACGCCATTGCCTGTGGAAGTAGAGGAGGGCTTTTCCCTGACAGAGGAAGCCGCTGCCAAGGACAAGGTCACGGACGAGCTGCAACTACTAGTGGACACCTATTGTCCGACTCTGGCACAGCGACTGCGGCTGAGGCTCTTCTTAGCAACAACCAAGAACGACGGGGAGCCGGCAGTGACGAGGGCTGCGGAGGAGTACCGGGAAAAAGCTAACGCTCCGATAATGCTGGTTATGCTATTCAAGTGACGCGCAAAAAATAGAAATAGTACTGAGGACTCTTTGTGGCTGGTGAAATTAAAATTAGGGGTTGGAGTAAGATGAAAAGCATTCGCAGGGGATAAAACTAGTTCTAAATTATAGAAACGTACTTATAATAGTACTTTTATTCTTATAAGATATATTGTAGTTTGCGATCGGAAGCTCTGATGGTCTCAAGCATAAGAGTTGCTTAATAAGTGATGATATGATCCACTACAATCTGACTTGCTTCTTCCGTTCGCCATGATTTCCTAATGATCGTTATCCTTACTCCGAAACTGTGTCGCCTGTATTCATTGTTCTCATCGTAGTGCCTTGCGGAGTTCAGTGTCCGCATTCTAGTGGGGCTACTATGTCTCTCAATCGTGCTAGAGTTAAAGTACCTCAAGGTGGCCAGCGCGCAGTTTTTAGAATACTATCTCCACTAAATTCGACTCTCTCCAAAATTCTCTAACAGATGATAGATACCTAGCCGCTTTTTGCTTTCTTGTGTGTGACGTGGGATAGTAAAAGTAGTAAAAATAATATAGAAAATTCATCGTGAAGTTTTTTTTTTGATAGCGTTGGAGTTGGTGTCTGATTCTCCTACTGATGCAAGGATATAGAGCTCTGGCGTCGTTGATATTTATCAGCTGTTCTAAGTTTAGTGCTACTGCTCGACAAGTGGCGCGCTGGTTTGGGCAGCGGGCACAGATTTCCCTTGTTACCAATTTACATTTACAACAGTTTACATTTAGATCTATGATTTGAAACTACCAGCCTCTTCCACGTGCAGTAGTTCGCCTCTATGCCACTTGTCGAGTTGGAAAGTAGTCAGTTTAACAGGACGTTTAGTTTTGATCTATGAGTGAATGAATGAGAGTGTTATCTTATCGAGAAAAAGAAGACTGAGTATTTAAGGTGTATTAAGTATCGTTAAGAAGAAAGCTGAGCATCGTTAAAAAGAAACTGGAAGACGCCGAGTATTTAGAATGTAAATGTGTGAGAATTCAATTATTAATACGAAGTCTTTTTTTATAATGTCCCAGATCGTCGATGTCGAATTAATAAAATCAATTCACTGAATAAATACCTGAGTTACTACTGACTCTAGCCGTACCCGTAAATCACTAAGAACGCTGCTCGAAGAAATGAAAGAAATGCGCCCTGCCTCCTAGGATCCACCACCCATCCCACCAAAAGTAAGCTTAATGGGGGTGCCTAGTCTGTAGGGGTTGGGATAGTCTGTTGTTTTCTTGTATATTTCAAAGTCTAGGTCAGCATACTCGAATACCCGATGACTATTAAGAAGAATAAGAGCAGTATTATTTAAGAGCATGAGCAAGTGCAAGTGCAAGACTAAAATGAAACTGAAAAGGCAAGAGGAAGAATTTTGCTTCTCTTTTGGGGAGCGATAGCCTAGATGAGGACCGCCGACGTAGAATTGAACGAGGATAGACGATTAATTTTATTATTTGCATTTAGTTTTCTTTTTCCTTTTCGAGTAGTAGCGATTGGTGAGGAAGCAGACGATGCTAAAGGTAGACCATCAACTGAAACTACAACAGCAACAACTTATCATCTCAACGATTATAGCTTGCAAAACGTTTAGGTTTAGCGGACACTCTCAAAGCACAAACAGTTTCACCAGATCTATTTATGTCAATTAGAAGCCGAATGATTTTCTCTTCCGTTATTCCTGGAAATTCGAGGGGAAGGGCCACATGGCTGCGAAAAGTAGGCCCCTGCGTGCTATTCAGACCTCCAGAAAGGCTAAGATATATGAAGATGAATGGACGAAAAATCTCGAAAAGCGCAGAGATGATTCAAAGCCTCCCCTTCAAGCGTTTGAGGGAGAACAGCACTAGGCAGACCTTGGAGATGGAGGTAGTAAGAAATTGGATACCGAGTTGAGCTGTACTAGTTGCGGATGTTGATGCTGTTCCTTGATTGTTGAGTTTGAGGCAGCATTTGCATTTGCATTTGGCAGACATTGGAGGTTGGATGTTACTTGATAGACGGAGTATGTAAAAAATTCTCGGAGAAAGACAAAGATTGTAATCTTTTTTTAATATAGATGAGAGAGATTTTCCAAGTCTTTCAAAACATACACGTGATCTTGTTCTTGTGTAAGAAATAGAGAACTCAGCAAGTACTAGAATGTCAAGTACAACTAGCAAGACGGCCGCTCCTGATCCAGGGGGCGGAGGCGGTCCTCTAGAAAGAACTACTCCAACCGCGGTTCTAGGAACTCCTTCACCAAGTGCGGGCACTCTAGGTCTTACCCCGAGCGCAGCTGCAGCATGTTTGGAAAACATGAAGATGAACAGAGTTTTCAACTCTGTTTTTCTTCCTCAAGACCTACCTGTCAAGCTGGAAGATGACTCGCAGAAGACGGATCAAGCGATACTCGAAATGCTACAAGCTTTTCCCATCGCTGCTGCGGTTAAAGAGGTTATCGAGCCTGTGGAACAGCTTATTTCTAAAAATATGGAGGTGGGAGCAGGACAGGGACAGAAAGGAAAAAGCAAAGGTGGCGGAGACCTCAAGAATAGTCGTTGTAAAGAAAATGACGTCGAACATCAAAGCGTGCCAGCATCTCCTACTTCTCAAGAACAAGAAGGGCAACATCCGCTGGAGTCTCTATATCGGAGATTTTGCGCACTGCACTCGGATCTGTTTGTTGCTGAAGATACTGATGCTTCAAGGGAAATGAATGAAAGTACGAAGCAGGACACGCCATCGGAACTGCCATCCACCTCAAAGGCTTTCTACGAAGAAGTTCGACATCACCGAGTTTTTTGCCCTCACGGACACCCCTGTGTCTTTATCAATGGTGTGCCCGACGTGTACGCGAAGCAAAATGCAGGAGACGCAGCATGTGAAGGCCTCAACTTACGAGCTCCCGAATTCCATTCCTGACTACCGTTCCTGGCTCTTTTCCTAGTAGATAAGAAGCCAGGGATGTTCTGAGGTGGAATGTAATTCCGTAACCTCTAATCAATTGCAGAACATGGGACGAAGGTCAGAATGGCTGGGACAATCGCACCATTGAGGAGAACAAGTGTTTTCATTGCATGATCTGTGAGTATGATCTCTGCGTTGCATGCGCCATTGAGGGCAATCCACGACTCGTAGAATTAAGGCTACCGTGGAAGAATTTCCTCATAGCACCGTCATCTCAAGGATCTTTTAATTTTACCGTGGAAGCATTTCCTCATAAGCATAACACCGTCATCCTAAGGATCTTTTAATTCTACCGTGGAAGCATTTCCTCATAACACCGTCATCCTAATGATCTTTTTCTGGTTGAAAAAGAAGCCTCCTCCAAGGAAGCCTGACTCATGCAAGCAGCAGCGCTCTAATGGAAGCAGCAGAATTGATACAAGGCGTCGGTGTTACCGGGCCGATTAGTGGAGAAGGCGCGGCTACAAATCCAGCGGTGGTCCATACGAATGCAGCGACATCAAAACTCGATCAGCCAGCGTTTGATCCGGTCCCGAACCTCAGTTATTGCATACCATTAAGGCTGTACCTAATACATCTTTGGACGCATCCTTGAAACGTATGGAGGAGCACGAGCATCCACCTAGGGGAATAATACTCTCCCATAGTACTTTTCAAGGATGCACTTGAAAGATGAATCACGGACAGCGCTAATGCCATGCCCTCCGGAGGACGCGCCTCTTGGCGTTGTTACAGCGTCCTCATCAACAACTCCGACTGCTCCTGTTGAGGAAACTACTTCTTCTACACTGCTAGATGGTGAAAATGGTACCACACGTTGTGCGTTTCCACACGTTGCGCGTTTCTACCGTAACCGCGCACTCACTGCGCCACAGGCGGATCACCAGGTCAACGCCTTTGATCCTGTGGTAAGCGCGCCTTACAAACTCGCGGCCATCATGCCTCCCGCTCGGCTACTCGTGAATGCAGATGCTTTTGCCGAAGACGGGAACAGCTCTGGACACAGGCCCAAACAAGATCAAGTCGAGACTCAGAAGGAGAAGGCCATCACCTCCGCCTCAAATACAGTAGATTCTAAAAAGGACAAAAGTGGGGCACCATTACGACCTTCAGGCTTCTTCGACCCTGTCCAGGCAGTTGACAAAAGTCTCGACTCTCTGCACAAACCGATGTGCGCGGAGAAAATCCAGAAGTCGATCCTTTCGGTCAAGCCAGGGGAAATGTGGGCGATGTACGTGCGTGCACAGAATGCCATGCTCTTCTTCGAGCGCGACAAGGCAGATACATCTCGCGTGTTCGTCTGTGGATGGGAGGTGCGCGCAGCCTCTTTGGCGGTCATCACTAAGACGAGAAAGTATCGACTTACACACTCACACTTATATATAACTTTCACGACAAACAAGGCTGTCAACATGATAAGTGTACAGGTCAACGCCTAAACCAATAGACTTATAAGCTTAACAAAGAACTCTAACTCATCTTAGTTGTCATACTTAACAAACTCATGCTCATGCTCATCATCATCTTAAGCATCAGCTCAAGTAACAAAATCTGAGTGTGAGTTGATTTTTCCCTGTCATAGCCGCGGGTGTGGGTACCGTAGGCATGGATCCTAACCAGCTGAAACAGGAAATTCCGCGAACGATTGCGAACCACCCATTGTCAATGCGCCTGAAGGAGGTTGTGCGGATAGAAGAGCTTGATGATAGTGATGACGACGAAAGAAATGGTGGAGGTGAAAAAGAAAATAGAAAACGTAAGCAAGAGGACAACTTTGCAGCCGGCTTTGATCTATTTGATCCTAGCTGGGAGGCGAAATTGGAGTGGGTAAGCGGTATGCTGAAGAAAAACCTGGATGTAAAGAAGAAGCGTGCCAAACAAGCAGATCTGCGAAAGAAACAAATGAAGAAAGCCCTGCAAAAACAGAAAAATTAAGGGTCGTTCCCACATTACATCCTTCGCTGGCATCCCTGACTCTTTTCTCAGTAGGAAATGAGCCAGGGACGTTCATCTCAGGAATGTAAAAATTCCGTAACCTGCTCTAAGAAAAGGAGGCTCGGAAAAAAGCTCGCGCAGCAGGGAAAAAAGGCGGACGTAGGGACTCGTCTGATGAGGAAGAAGAGGACTCCGATGAAGATTCTGACGAAGAGGAAGACTCGGACTTATGGCGATGAAGACAGAGAGTAGAAGCTTCAACTCGTCGATTGATGATTCTCATTCTTTCATGAAAATAATAAAAGTGAATATGTTGTATTTATTTTCAATCGCGACAGGTTTATTTCTGGATGAGTCAAAATACATGTCAAGGATATGCATGCTGATCTTGCTTCTCTTGACAAGGGTACAGAGTGGCCATTTGAGACGAAATGTCAATGATGATGATGATGATGATGCTATTTTGCTTGATATAAGTAGATACTTTTTTGCTCTAAGAATGGATGACTCGTCTCGGCGTGGCGGCGAATTCGATTCAGATTCCGATAGATTTGGCCTCTTTTCTGATGACTTTTCTTCCGACTCAAGTGACAGATCATCCTTCTCTCAGCACTCGTCGAATCAATGGTCGACCGCTTCGTCCACAGTGTCCGGCGGCTCCTCGTCCTCTAGTACTTCGGGTTCGGCTCCACCTACTTCGTCGCCACCAGCGGCACAGGTCGTAACGGGTGGCCGCAGGGGTCTAAAACGTCTGCTCGGAGGAGGCACTGGCAAAAAGAAGAAGAAAGGAACTGAAAAAGCTAAACTTAAGGCTATATATATCTCGCTTTGGTGAGGTGAGAAGTGCAACCTTCCTTCGTAGGACAACCATAGTTCGCAACTGCACGTCTTTGAAATGGTCAGTTCTTAGAGTGATAGGCGAACAGAACAACGCCTAAGCCGCTCGAGAAGGACGCCATGGGGCTTAAGTTCTTGTGCTTTTCACCCGCGTCAGCGAGTCCCAGACCCAGTATTGCGCCTCCTCTAACAATAAAAAAATGACCTCGAACAAGAAGAAGCTCGATTGTCCAGGGCCCAAAGACGACGTTGTTGAGGAATTTGAAGCGTCCGTTTCAGTTGGTGGCTACGTGAATTTGCGCAAAATCACCTCGAATGCGTTTGCGTTGCTTCTCGCGGACCTGTATTGGAACCCACAGCTACTCGCAACCTGCAAACGCAGAGACGTTAAGGCTCCTACATGTCGGAGAGATCAGATGCATCCCCAAGCAAGAGTACCAGCATCGATTCCTGTGACTGTGATTGTGACTAGTCTGCTTTCTTCTCCCAGATAGTACATGTAAGACTATGTGAGACTCATGCCATGCCAATGTCTACATCTACAGTTACACTTTCCAAGGGAACTACATCTACATCTACAGTTACTTCAACTAGGGTCAGGGGATAGAAGTGATGCTGTACAACTCTTCCTCTTATCTTATTTCTCGTCAGACCTTATCTTCCTCTTATCTTATCTTATTTCTAAAGAACGCAAAGCCGGACAGACCGATTGCGACGTGGACAAGAGTCATTTTGTCACGGAATATTTGATGGCTTGTCTGGGCGGCGAGTTAGTCTATGATGTGTCCGATGCCGTGGATGAGGTCAACGCTTTCAAGAGCAAATGGAATAGGATGTGCGATGAATTTGCGACAATGGATGAAGAAACAACCAAGAATAAAAGAGGTGACCTAGGAGAGATGGAGGACACGGCTAGTGGGCAACATGCTGAAGAGCAGGATGACGTTAATTATACCGTCAGTAAACAAGAAACAGATCGCGATCGTCCCTCCGAAGATGTTCTTGGTGTTCCTTCAACTAGTGGCTCTCCATCTCGTCCAGCCACTCAACAGAGGACAACTGCTAGACGACCACTGAGTATGAAGCGCATGCGCACTCTGACCAAGCCACATACAACCAGTACCGCAATCTTTAATGCGCCTCAGATAC